CTAGCAGAATAGCTTCCTTTCTCCAAGACTAGCACTTTGTAACTAGCTTTTGCAAGAAATCCGGTGATTAACCGCTGCTGGATCTTGAGCCTACCACCACGGCGTCACATTGGATAACTAAGGAAGGAGATGGGTAAAGTCGAAGGTTTAGATTATATTTTTGACGACCAACGCAGAGAGGGGGAATGTAGATCTTCGAAGAGCATATGCAGTGATGTATTCAGGATAATCTCAGTGGACAAGAGGAGAAATTCTTGCATGACCTGGCACACCATGCTATCCATACTTTATTTAATAAAAATATAACATTAAGTCGACATTAAATGTGAATTAATTCTGCCATGAATAATGATAAAGAAAGAAAATATATAATAATCAAAATGATATTTGCAATGTATTATGATTGAAAATATACAAATGTCTCCTTTTATGTTGATGCACGGATCAAAAAAAAATTGCAAACTAATTGTATCAAATATAAATTATTTTTTAACTATATTTGGATGAAATATGTGGGTGCGAATCATCACATTAGTGTAAGTGGCGGTACAGTTATGTGCTTCTAATTTGATTGTACATCCAAAACGACAAGTCACGACAAAACTAGCAAAGCTCTGCAATAAAGCAAAGACCAGCGCATTATAGATATTTAGTTTGTCAGTATTTCACACCAAGGTGCTGCAAGGTAATTCGACTTTTGCCAGCATCACGAGCAACATTTTCACTCTCCAGCCGGGTCGACTTTGAAACCACATAACTCTAATGTCATACATGCTTCAAGAAAACGCATAGTTAAATGATAGTTATACCATTTTGATTAGACATTTTCATTTTTCAGCTAGCAAAATACTCCATCTAATTCAATTTATAAGGTATCTTAAAAGGTTTACTTAATCTTATTTATAAATTATGGTGCATTATTTTAGGTAATATTTTTAAAATTATCCTTCATAAAAGAAAAAAAAATAACATAACACTTTTTTTAGATTTGTTATATAAACACATGTTTAAAATTTAACACACTTTTATTTCTTATACTTTTTTGTATTGATATTGATGAATTTAATAAAAATTATTTATAAAGAAAATCGAAGGAGTACTGGGTACACCATCATACTTATCAGCATGATTAAATTTAATAAATCTTACTTCTTTTAAATTTCTATTAACATTTTTACGATTTTCAGCATAATTATGAGTTTTTTATGTTTGGAAAAAAAAACAAAAAAGTGGGGGAAAAGTACTAGGTATACCATCACACTTATCAGCATGATTAAATTTAATAAACCTTACTTTTTTTTAATTTCTATTAACATTTTTACGATTTTCAGCATAATTATGAGTTTTTTATGTTTGAAAAAAAATCAATAAAGTGGGGAAAAATTATGAGGACGAGGAAATGAAACTACTAAAAATCCTAACTTTACTTTGTATGTTAAGAATTAATTAGAATGATATATTGCCTAATATTTACATCTCTTACATAAAGTGGTTTATATGTTTTGTCAAAGATCATGATAATTAGAAGTTGGACATTTGGTTAAATTTGATACGGGAGAATGATAGAAAGATTTTAAAAAAATTAATTAATTTAATTTAAATCTCAAGTATCAAATTTAAAAAATTTACAACTCAATCTCCCAATTTTATAATTTATATTTTAAATTTTAACATGAAAAATAATTTTTATATTTTTTAATTATGTTAAAATTTAAAAAATAAGTTATAAATTCATCACAATATAATTATAAAATTAAAAAATAAATTTGTAAATTTGTAAAGTTTGACACTTGATACCTAATTTGATTTAATTAATCATTTTGAGATCTTTTTATTATTCTCTCCTTTGATAATACCTCATGTAGTATACGTACTTATATACCATGAAAGACCTTATTTTCTTTACATTACAGTCACATTTCTTTTTTATCTCATATTTCTTTTGTATTGTTAAACCAATTAAATAAAGCCTAAATGCAGATAAATGCTGAGACATGCTTCACCACAAACAGTTTCCATATCTATAAACACCACGTCAACATCTTGACTTTATTAGAAGAAGAATTGGGAGGGGGGTTTCCTCGAGCAAACAAGTGGGGTCATTCTGGTGCCTTCTAGGCCCCTTCTCGATAATTAGTTAGTAATCCTCTTTGCTTGACACAAGATTTCCCTGGGCCCCATTTACAGTCTGGAATTCGATGTTTCGAGTTTTTGACCATGAAGTGCAGTGTCCCTAACATCAAAATAATAATAATAAAGATAACTACATAAATTTAGCTATAAAGTATCTTCTGACAACCGCTAAGTATCCCTACTACTGTAAGGTGGTGGGAGTAATTCTACCCAAAGACAAATAGATATAAATTTTGACGTTGAATAAAATCTTTTGACTAAAAATGCTTTGACCTGACCTTCAGCTTTCTTGGCTCCTTTCTCCATTCTTCTCACAGAAACATCTCTGGAGCTATTGAGGAACACTGAATTTGGTCTTCTACCGTCGGACACACATCCTCTCCTTGCTTCATTTCCGCAGCCCGATATCTTCACCGTTGAAGTCCACGATATCATGCAATGACTTGGAGTTGGAGGGCTTTGGCCATGGATATATATGATCAAGAACTTGAACTTGCAAGCGGCATAATCAGATTCAGGCCGTAGTAATTATACTCGGAAGTGTATAGCAAATACTATATTATATCACATGGTGAATAATGATTCAAAATAATCAAAGAAACTAGCATTTTTAACAGGGGCCAAATTTAGAACACAACAATTTCAAAGGTAAAAATAGAGCCTGGTGAACACAACCACAAACAGGGAAGAATCTGGTGAAGAAGTCACTATGCTGCTTTGGAAAAACAAAGACGCGAGCGGAGCTCTCTAAATAACGGGGAAGCATTGCTCAGCTAAGAATGAAAGGCAAAAGCAAAAAAAAAAAAAAAACAAGAAGAAGAAGCTAAATTGGCGGAAAGGATACGCACAAAGGTTGGAGCAATCAGAGGCAAAATCAAAGGCCTAAGAAGAGAAAGGATGGAGAGGAAGAACAAGAAAATGCAGAAGCTTGGAGACAGAATCAAAGACCAATTTGATAGGCTTTGAGCTATGTTGCAATCTAAAGACAAACAATCGAACGCCAGCAACTCCACGCACTAGAGACGTCGTCGTAGACCTCCCTTCGCCGTTTACTCTGTCCGTCTGAGCGAGTTCCTTTAGCAGCGGACTGAGCAACCCGCTTGGCCTGTATTGAGACCGCCTCATCCACCATACCTAGAGGACTGCAATTTCTCGGATGGCAGCTGTGAAAGTCGCAAGACCTTGTCTCCAGACGACGTCGCAGAGGGTAAGAGAGGGACAAGGTCACAGAGAGAGAGAGAGTCAGGGAGGTAGAGAGAAGATGAAAACATAAGTGGGCGCATAGAGTACAAAATAAACAGACGTTGGTTTTTTTTTTTTTTTTTTACTACCAACAAGCAGAGGTTGGTTGAAAAATGAAAATAAATGGCAGGTGTGGAATGCAATATTTTTTATTGTTTATATTTTTTTCACCATTTCATATCATATAATTTTTTTAAAAATATAAAATATTTTTAATTAAATCTCACCGTCTAATAAAATAATTACTTACTTTTACATTAACTTTATATTTTTATATTTATTTTTATTAAATACTTTATAATAAATATAAAGTTATTATCACTAGAAATATTTTTTTAAAAAATACAATGATTATACTTCAAAAGATTAAAAATAACTTACATTTTTAAATATTTAAGTTATTAAAAATGTCTTATCTTTTTAAATAAAAAGTGTAATGCTCAATAGCTATTAAAAAATAATTCATAATTAAATTTATATATTTATCTTAAAACAATAAAAAAATTAATTTTAATAGTTTAGTAGTAAAAATTTATATATTTAACATTATACAATTGAAGTACTCATTTTTAATTACATCAAAACATATATTATTTATAAATTATTTATTCTCTAATAAATTATTGTTATTAACATTATTAAACTATTAAAATTCACTTATTTTTATTTGATTGAATATAATTATTTTTTTGATATTATTTACAAAATTAATTTTATTTTATTTCATCAGAATTAACAAAAATTTTAAATTTTATAAACTCTATTTTAAATTTAATAAATTTTTATTTTACCTTTTAATAAAAATTAAAAAAAATTATTTTTAATAATTTTTGAAAGAATATATTTATAAGTCTTTTATGGTTTTTTATTTTTAATTAAATCTCCTATATATTGTTTATTTTAATTTAATTAAGTTCTTATAATTTGATCAATTAAATTTTTTAACTCTTAAAAATTAAAATCCTTGAGTTTTTTATTTAAAAAATTTATATTTTTATTAAATGATTATATAAATTTACAATTAATTACATAATTTTTATAATTTAAAATTTATATAATTAAATTTTCTCTTAAATATTTTATACTTATAAATTTTTATAAAAAATAATAAAAATTAAAAAGTGTATTAAATCAATTTTTTTGGATTTTGGCTAAAATTATTGAATTGGGTTTTCTATAAACTTCAAAAATATTTTTTAAAAAAAATTTAGTAATTCATTATGAATTTTAACATTCAAGTATAATCATCTTTAATATATCAAACTATAAGAGCTTGATTAAAATAAAATAAATTATAAAAATTTAATTTAAAATTAAGTAAAATTATAAGGATCTGCATATTAATTTTTTATGATTTTTTTAATATTTAATAAGGATAAAAAGATAAAAATAAATATAAAAATAGTGAAGTGTCTTATGAATAAAATTAAATTAATTATTATGCCTTATAAATATAACAAAAAATGTATATATGATTAAGAACTTAAATCTTGTGCCGTGTTAAATACCAATTACGTTAGATTATTTGTCACAATACCCAATTTATTTTACAGTTAAATTTCAGTTAAAAAGATATATAAATAGCAAAGTACTCGTTTTTGGTGATAGCAAAGGATAACGGCTTGCGAAAGAATAGCGAAAAAGAATAATCGAGAGCACCAAATCAATCACGAGAATCCCAATCAAACTTCGTTGGGACACCAAGACAGCACGCAGGAGAGTTACTTCTCTTCATATATCAAGTTAATTGGTTCCGTTAACAAGATCAAATAGTAATCCTGAGTTGTTCTCTGCGATCGACCTGCACTTCTGTGAATACTGAATTCTCTGTCACGCCGTTTCGATTTTCCTCCTTCCTAACAACCCACGCGTCAACCCCGTTGTGCCAAGAAATTCCAAGCTTCTTTCTCGTTATTTTTTGGATCCCACTGTTTCTTCTTCACCCCTTTCCCTTCCCTTCCTATTTCTCTCTATCTTTTCTCTCGCCCTTTTCGTCTGCAATTTCTCATATCCCCTCTCTTTTTTCCATTTTCCGGGAAAATATATCACTGATTTTATAGGAAAATTGTATCCTCTTTCTTTTCCCCTTTCTTGATGGAGTTTACGTAGGCATGAACCGCCTTACCGCCGCAACCTTTTTACCTGTTGTATTTTCTTCGATAATTTTAATTGCATTTGCCTGATTACCCGACCTTCCTTGGTTCATACGTTATAATTAATTTTTGGTTTTGTTCGTCGATATTTTTATATTTGTTTTGGATTGAAGACAAAGCTGAGACATAAAAACCTTGATGACTCGGCAATTGATGCCACAATCACCGCCGGTGGTGCCGCGAGGGAAGCATCGGGCAGGAGAAATAGCCGGCGGGACTGCGGCGGAGTGCGCTGCTGTGTGCTGCTGCTGTCCGTGCGCGGTGGTCAACATATTGGTATTGGCAGTGTACAGAGTTCCGGCGGGTCTGTGCAAGAAGGCAATTCGCCGGAGAAGACGGCTGCGTTTGCAGAAGATGAAAAACAAGATGTACTTGCAGCAACAGAGTTCCAACAATGGCAACGCCATTATCACGCTGGAGCAATGCCTATCGGAGGAGATGAAGACCTACGGCATCGCTGGCACGGCGGAAAAGGTGGAAGAAGGATCAGAGGCCGATGAGTTGGAGAAGGAGATGTGGGCCCGGTTCCAGGGAACCGGATTCTGGAGGAGCTCTTCTCGGCGGCTAGAACCGTAACTGCAAAACGGGTGGTTATTACCGTGTGCGAGGGCCGAGGAGCCCCAAGTGGCTCCGATAATCCGATCAGTCTTCGTGAGGTATGTTACACGTGTTATCATTCTATTGGTTTTTGAACCGCACGAAATTGTAAGCTTCATTCGAACTCTGAATCCTGAGGATAGAATACCTGAAGTACATAATAACCACGTGTGTGTGCAAGTCATGTGATTTTCATTTGTATTTTTTGAACACTGTTTCATGCATGTTAATTTCCAAATCTCAAAGGCCATTTGCCAACCAAAGGCAAAAGAAAAAAAATGAAACCATTGGCCATAGAGAAGTTTCACTGTTTCAGAGATGGAGATGTTTGTGCCCAATAGTTGAATTTTCGTGATTAACTTGATTCATTTTGCAAGCAAAAACCTTACAATGCTAGCAAAGAGTTCGTCTTATGAGTAAGGGAAAAGCTTTTCATGATATTGCTTGCGTAATTAACTTAAATTCATTTTGCAAGCAAAAACCTTATAATGCTAGGTAAGAGTTCATCTCATGAGTCCGGGAAAAGCGTTTCCTGATGATCTTATTGCTTACCTGATGTATTGAGTAATATAATGAAAAATTATCTGAAGTTTCTGGAGATAAGTTTGGTATTGGGTTTGGGATTATGGAAGGAATTAAGTGCTGACTTTATTATTAAGATATTGAAGAAGGTTAGCTCACATGTTGCCACTTGGGTGCGGCAGCTAATTAAATGTGGTTGTTGTGATTAGTCTTGAAGGCTTTCCATTTGTTAATGCTAATCTGATTCTGTGCCACACTCCATGACTTTGGAGGATTAAAGTCAGAGCAAATTGCTACGAATAATTAAGATTCGTCTTATCCTGGAGCATTTTTCTTTCCACTAAGAACGTGTCTTCTTCTTCTTCTTGGTTTTTTTCGTTTTTTTGGAAGAAGCTAAGAAAGTGTCTTCTAATTTAACATTTCAACTTTTTCACTGGCAAGAAAATAACATTTCAACTTTTCCCCCTCAAAATGCGTCATCACACAAAAGATATCCCAATAATTTTAAGTTAATTACTATTCTGTTGATCTAACTTTAGAAAGAGATCTATACAGACACGCAAACACACACTAAATCTAACTGTATTAATGTGCAATTTGCTTTATAAACTTACTTTCATATATTTAAAATGTTTGTGTTCAATTAGATTAAAGTATATGTATTTTTTATAGATTGATTATTTTATAATAATTTTTTGTCATCAATATTATTAACATATTGAAGTGCATATATCATGATTTGATAAGACAAAAATATATTAAATATATATAACTAAACATATGAGCCTTGCCCTTTGTTAAAATAATAGATTTATGTGGTTAAGTTCCTAGTATTCTTCTATCTTTATGATGTAGTGAAAGAATATTAACTTTCCGTCAAAGTAAGCAAACGGACCTTCAGAGTATAGTCATACTTTTTCCATATATATGAATCTAGCAACGTCCACATTTGGAAAAACTCGAAATATTAAAGTTGTAGTTTAGGAATAAATCAAATTAAAATGTCATCATTTCTTACTTTATTGGTGAAAAAATAATCTTCATCTATTTTATGGAAGGCTAAAATATACTCTCTCTGTTAAAAAATATAAAGTATTTTTAATTAAATTTCACTTCTAATAAAAGTAATTATCTACTTTCAAACTAATCATATTTTTTTATATTTATTTCTATTAAACACCCTATAATAAATATAAAATCATTCATCAATAGAGTTATTTTTTTAAAAAATGCAATGATTACACTTCGAAATATTAAAAATACCTTATATTTTTTTCAACTCCTCAAAAAATGCCTTATATTTTTTAACGGGAGGAGTACTTGTAATCCTTTAACTTTACATAATATTTTATTTTGATCCCTTAATTTTATAAAGTGTATTTTTAATCCTTTAATCTTGATACCATTAGTTTTAAATGATTATTTTTGTGATCCTATGTAAAATTAGAGGACCAAAAGTGTATTTTAGCCTTTTATGGAAAGAATACAATTTTTATATATTTATGGTAAAGATTAAAGACAAAATATTAATTCTCACTTAATGCGTATATCCTTCATGGGAGACCTGCTTATATTCATGGTGAGAAAAAAAACATGATTAATGAAGCTTGATATTCGTGAAACTGGATTTAATGATATTAATCTTCACAATGATTGATTTAATTTATAATTTTTTATAAACCAATTCGAGTGTTTTCTTTTTTTTTCTTGACCCATGTTTTTATTGGAAAGTTGGATTTACGGATAAAACATAAAAGCTGACATAATTATAATTAAGGTAAGACTTACGTGCTTATTCTTATATACTTAGTATATTATTATCTAATTAAATATAAAACATGTAAATTTTAATATGTTAATAATATTAATAATAAGAATTTGTTATAAATATTCAAATTGTAATTTTGGAATAATCAAATTAAAACGTCTTCTTACCCAAAAAAAAACATCTTCATTTCTTATTGCACCGGCGAAAAGATAATTTTCATCTACTTCATGAAAAGAAAAAAAAAATTTATATATCCATGGCATATGTAACGAAAATTCAAAAAAAAAAAAAAAACAGACCAATCAAGCTGGCCAAGCAGGCACTCTTTTGAATTCATCACTCAAAAACATATAAGCAAATTGGACTCTAAACCAATAGAAGACAGTGACTTCAAGTCCATTAAGAATCTTCATGCCTGGCACATCCATTCCTCGTAAAATTGGACCTGTTTCATGTGAAGACCATCTTCGTCTTCTGCTTGGACTTTAATTGCATGATTAATCAGTGCCCTCAAGCCCATCATCCTTCAAGCACAAGACGCCACTTTAATGCTCTTCATATCCTACTCATGGATGTTGCATTCGAAGCCCAATTCTTTTATGATCCTGCAAATGAGATTTCTTTTTCTTTTCTTTTCTTTTCTTTTCTTTTCTTTTCTTTTTAGGTTGAAAAGGCAAGGCGAAGCTTGGGATAGAGTTGGTTACAAAAGCTTAGAGAGTGGAGCGAAGGCTCTTCTCTTCATAGAAAATTCCTTGAGAGCACCGAGGAACTTCTGTCAAAAGTCTAAAGTCCTGTTCTAGTTCATGAGAATTCTTGGCAAGTGCATCCGCACATCTTACTGAAGCTCGGCCTGTGTGCATTTGAGATTTCTATATTTCATAAATTGGGGAATGCTGTCTGGCTTCATCCCTGGCGGCATCATTCCAGGCTTCCAGTAACACATCTGCGAGAATAATTAATAAGTGGGAGTGGAGGAAATTGAGACATGAAATGACTGAAAGAACAGAGAAAGGTCTGGTGACAAATTAAAATTGTTACTAAGTTCTGGTTAACAACATGATTTGAACCGTTCCCGTCTTTACAATTTTCAATGTCCTACACGCTTCACGTCGTTTTGGATTAGCAGCTTTTTATTTGTATAAATACTTTAGATGTTTTTTGGACTAATTTATACATTATTTCGACTTGATTTCAATTCCGATCACTCTAAATTATTACATTTTTTAAAACAGTGATATGATTTTCATTTTGTTGAGCTTGGCGGATACGATTTTCATAAAACGGTGATAAAAATCGATAAATGATTTCGTTTCTTTAGTGGGACGATAATTATCAGGGTCAAATCAAACTGACCAGTTGAGCTCAGAAATTAAAACATCAGCACGCTAATAATCTTAGAGAAACGCATCCCTCGAGACAATAGTACACACAGCAAAACACTATGACGTCCATTCATTGTTCTCGAAAAATAAAAAAATATAAAATGTTATTTGAAAAATTAAATCCTAAAAATATTTTAAAATATAATTAATGTATTTTTAAGTGATCATAATAAATAAATTATTTTATATTTATTTTAAAATAAAATACCTTATCAAATAAAAATAAATATGGACAGAAAATATTAATCTAAAAATAATTAATTATTTTTTTAAGTAGTAAGATTTAATTAAAAATATTTTATATTTTTTAGTCAGAGAGATTACCACATATACAAATGGAGCACATCAAACAAATTATGAATAACCGATTGTTAGCAAACTAAATATCCATCCCCATTCAACAGAAGAATCAAATTTTTGGGGGTGTTCTAAATCTCTAAGACCCATCGCAATATATTCGCACGCCAACCACGTGAAGGTTCCGACCAATTAATAATTCTAGATCCTTGGAAGCTAAGGCTCCTCAAAAGCTGCATTCATTGGTGCTTAGTCGTAAATCCCCGCTAAATTCCGTATATTAAAATTTTTCTTTTAATCTAGTCCTCATTTATTCTCTATATGAAACGCAGATACATGTTCGTGCGCGCGCGCACAAACATGTCAACAACGTTGGATTTAAACTCAAGGCCTATTCCAAATAAAAAAGATGATATTACTTTTAGGCCTATTTCATACAATATTGTTAGTTGTTATTATTTTTTTTTTTACAACATTTGAAATTTGGGAAGTCACAAAGATTCAAACTAATTTAAATCAGGCAAGATTACAAGACCAGCAATTTAAGTTTTCACACGATTTTGTTGACGCAAACACATATCCAATAATCAAGGTGAAACTTGAGAGCAGTGATTTAGTTAGCATGCCTATGTGCTTGTTAATTAGTGCGTAAAATATTGTTAGTTATTTCACTGTATTAATCTAGTCAATGTCTGTAATCATAATTAACTGTGTCATGCATGTTTGTAAAATATATTTGGACAAATCAGAAATTTAAGTTAAGATTGAATAAAAAACACCGGTCCATGAAGCATTTGCAAATATGTATAACAAAGCTGTCTAAGAAACAATGTATACTCCCTTAATAAAAAAAATATAATATATTTTTTAAAAAGTTAGATGTCTAAATGAATCACTTTATTTATTTTAAAATATTTAATAAAAATAAATTTAATAAAATAAAATTTATTTAAAAATTGATAATTATTTTATTAAGAATAAGATTAAGTTATAAATGGATGGAGCATATAATTAGTGCCACCGACAGGTTTGAGAGTGCAATGAGATGTAAGAATTTATGAACTGCATGAGGTGCCAGCAATAAACAACACTAGTCCACGTTACCCTACCAAACGGTTGAGCGATGCACTTCACCAGAATGAATCATTAAATATCTTATCACATGCAGTTTGATACTCACTTTATTTAAAAATATAAAATATTTTTAAAAAATTTAAATATTTAAAAATAAAATATATTTTTAATTTTTTAATGTGTAATTATTATTTTTATTTAAAAATATTTTTATTAATAATGACTTTATATTTATAATAAAATATTTAATAAAAATAAATATAAAAAAATAAATTAATTTAAAAATAAATAATTAATTTATTGAAAAGTGAGATTTAATTAAAAATATTTTATTAAAATATAATGGAGAGAGTATATTACAACGTCAATGATGACGCGCGGCCCAGAAATAAACCGCTGGAAGTCTACAGGTACGGATATTTTAAATGCGTAAAGATAATTACGCAGAGAATTCAAATATTGTAAGTTAAAGATGATATATTGTTACACAATAACATCCTTTGCTATAACGTTGGTGGTTTCCGTGCAGTTTCAAGAAAAAGTGTGAGTTGAGTTTTTAATTTATTAAAAATTAATTTATTAAAGTTTATTTGATAAAAATTAATTTAATGAAAATCTTATTATTATAATAAAATTTATATTTAAATATATTTTTAAAAAAGATCAGCTTGATAAATTAAAAATATTTGAATTAATAATAATTTGTACTTTTGAATATGCAATGATAAAAAAATATATTAATTTATGATAATTAATAATTTTTATTATATAAATATAATATATTAAAAATATTGAAATAATGAAGAGTATCATAATTAAATATAAAATTAGGTATCAATAATTATTGATTCTATCTTTTACATTTATGTTTGAAAAACAAGTAAATGAAATTTTCAAACTTTCACTTTTAAATGTTTGAAAATAACTTTTAGAAAGTACATTTAAACCCATTAAAATACACCCAAACATCTCTTCATATTTTAAAAGTGAAAAAATATTTTTAGAATGTGAAAAGTCATTTATCCAAATGGTGTTAAGTTATCTTATTTGATTTATAATTTATGGACACACTTCCTCTATTATAAATTATGAAATATTTTTGAACAAAATCTCATATACTAATAACTCTTATTAGATACATTTTAAAAAGCTTATGATAAAAATTAAATAGAGAGAGGTAAAAGATAATATGAAATAAGTCTATTTAATGAAACTTAATATTCTCAAATAAATTTATATAGTGTGACGTAAAATCTCTCTAAAAATATTTTATAATTTTGAACAAAAGGACTATAACTTGTAATAAAATTTATATGTGATATTGATACAACTGATTGATTTTATAAATGTAACGTGCTTAATTTTATTATTTTTAATCTAATATTTAATCTCTTTCTGTTTTTTCTTTACATTCAGGTTTCAGCTACTAGTATTTCTTTTTTTTTTTTGTCGGGATTGAACAAATGTGCAGCATCTAGATGGCATTTTCTCCTTATTATGTTCCCCACAATATTGTTTCCTATCTACATTTTAAAATTATATTACGATAAATTAAACTGCGCGGGGCAAAGAAAAAAGCGGGCGCATAATTGACGTCATGATCAAGGTAACATATAGTTTTTTTTTTAAAAAAAAACCAATAAGGTGAAGTTTAGTTGACACAGATTTATGGAAAAAATTAGATAATTAGATTTTAACTCCTGGACAATTAATGCATGGCACATTATAACAGTTTTGCCAATAAGTTATATAGTTTAATTTTCACAAGTTAAAATCACGTAATTTTTTTTGTAAAAAAAAATCATCACCCATATCCTAATTTTATGAAAGAAAAAAGGATTGAAAAAAAATAAAATATTATAAAATATTTCCAATCAAGGGAGGTATATTTCGTGGGCACATATAAATATAAATGTTAAGTCTCAGATATAGAAAAAGTTGCTAACTAAATGTTGCATTGAAATGTTGTTTTTATATATTTAAATGAATTTTTTGTCAAGTTAATCCACAGAACTAGTCAGAGTTGAGATATGTTTACGACAAATACGAAATGCAAACAAAATAATAAGGAGAGAACACGGAATTAAATCTTTCATGGTTCAAAAAGAACGAGTATCTCACGTGTCGCCAAAAGCCAACACATGAAAAAATGAAGAAAAAGAAACGAAATGAAGCTCTGGACACTTTCTAGAAGCTATTATAATAAGTTTTGTTGCAAAAAGAAAAAAACGAAATACTTCTGAAACGCAACGTGATTCTTGATTCATACAAGTCATCTTCATCCAATTGATTGCCCTCTATGGATGGATTTCTTCATACAGAGTTCATATTTACAATTTTATCCTGGTCGGTGGCCAACAGTTTAGTAAAGTAAATTGAAGTTAAATGCGAAGATCACTGGTTATAGATAGGGATCAGAAGAAAGTGTTAAATTTTCAGAATGGACAAATTTAGATAATGCGCCTGTCTACCAAACCACACGCACAAAAAAAGAGGCCCATTTAGTGATTGGTATTTTTCATTTAATAAATAAATAAATGTATGATATATATATATATATATATATTGATAAAAATTGAAAAATTGTGCTTTGTTTACGTATAGCGCGAGGGCTTAGTATTTCAATGTCACGAGGGGGAAGGCTCCACTCCAAGATCTTTTATTCGTTTGGGCGTCGCAATAATGGAATGGAAGGAAGGAATGTGGCTCTTCACTGTATTCTCTCAATTTCTCCTCCGCCGGCACGTGAATTCGACCCCCTTTTTAGCTTGCTTATCAAACCCATTTCTTTAAAAAAAAAAAAAGTAAACAAACAAATTGATCACCAAACTATGTGTAATTACTTTATTGGTCTCAAAATATATACTTTTTTAAGGTATTTGTGTGAGAATGTAATTAGTATATATATATATATATTGATCACTTACCAAATATATCTCTAAAGCATACTAAATATGGTTTAAAATTCAAAAAAAAAAAGAACAACAAGCACTGGACCAGTTAATCTTTTTAAATAACTGGATTATGAAGTTATGAAGTTTAATCTTTCTATAATCATTTAATCCAACACAACAGTAAATAAAAACCGTTGACCGTAAGTTTAATCTCTAGACAGATGAATAGGTGAGGTTAGGACTAAGGAACCATTACAGTGACGCAGGAAACCGGAACCCTGCATAAGTCGGAACAGAACATCAAATCCGAACTTGCCACGTGGAAAAAGCTGCTGGCAGAGCAACCGACACTCATTTGCTGACTCACCGTCAACCCAACACGAACAGCTTACTCGACCATTTACATTTACTCTCACCGGTCACTGTAACTAATTTCATTTTGCTACTCAGGTACCATCTCTACCGCCACCCCCCAATAAACCAAAAATACTACCAGCAATGAAGTGAGAGAGAGTTGTATTGTTCCTTCGTAACACATTCCGAGGTCGCCTTCTCTGATTCTCTCTCAGGTCTCTGGTTCCCGCTTATTCTCTGCGGTCGCCATGGATCGTTGTATCCATGGCGTCACCAGGTTCTGCATCCATCTTCTCTTTCTTTTTTCCGGCTTCCCCTTTCTCGCATTCTCGGATTCTCAGAATCCAAGATTGTCGGTCGCTCCTTCCTCGGGTCAAATAAACTCCAACTCAGTTCTGGTGGCTCTTCTGGACTCACATTACACGGAACTTGCCGAGCTGGTGGAGAAAGCTATGCTTTTGCAGACTCTCGAAGACACTGTCGGTACCCACAACATCACCATCTTCGCGCCCAGAAACGAAGCCCTCGAGCGCGATCTCGACCCGGAGTTCAAGCGCTTCCTTCTCGAACCCGGTAATCTCAAGTCTCTTCAATCCTTGCTCATGTTTCATATCATCCCCACTCGAATCGGATCGCAGGCGTTGCCCTCTCAAACCGGGTCAACCCGTCACGAGACGCTCTTTAAGTCCGAGTTCATTCACCTTGTGAATAATGGGACCGGGGAATGGACGGTGGATCGCGCCAAGATAATGCATCCCGACGTAGTCTCCCGACCTGACGGAGTGATCCACGGGATTGAGCACCTGCTGGTCCCTCGCTCCGTCCAAGACGACTTCAACCGTCGGCGGAGTCTTCAGTCCATTACGGCGGTGAAGCCCGAGGGAGCACCGGAGGTTGACCCGAGGACACATCGCCTCAAGAAGCCAGCTCCGCCGGTGAAACCAGGTTCGCCGCCGGTTTTGCCCATCTACGACGCCATGGCACCGGGCCCCTCTCTGGCGCCTGCCCCAGCTCCCGGGCCCGGTGGACCTCACCACCATTTCAACGGTGAAGCCCAGGTCAAGGATTTCATTCAGACATTGCTTCATTACGGTGGGTACAATGAAATGGCCGACATTCTGGTGAATCTGACATCCTTAGCGACCGAAATGGGTCGGTTAGTTTCTGAGGGTTATGTCCTAACCGTCTTGGCTCCAAATGACGAAGCCATGGCAAAACTAACCGCTGACCAGCTGAGCGAACCGGGTGCTCCAGAGCAGATAATGTACTACCATCTAATACCCGAATATCAAACCGAAGAGAGTATGTACAATACAGTTCGACGGTTCGGTAAGGTCCGTTATGATACTCTCCGGCTACCGCACAAGGTGGTAGCTCAGGAAGCAGACGGGTCGGTCAAATTCGGGCAGGGAGACGGGTCGGCTTATTTGTTCGACCCCGATATATATACGGATGGTCGTATCTCGGTTCAGGGTATCGACGGGGTTTTGTTCCCACCGGAGGAGGAGGAAAAACCGGTGACTCGGACGGTTCAACCCGCCAAAGTCGTGGTCAGGCATATAAGAGGTACTTTTCTTTTTCTCTACTCTTACTTTGGTGAATTGTTTATTGGCTGGAAAAGTTGACACCGATCATGATATGAATGTGTGTGATTGGCTTTGTTTTCCTTGCGTTTTCTTTACGGGAGCTTGGCTTAAGTCGTAAGAAGTAAGATGAAACTGATGGGTAGAAAGTATTGGAGGGCCACGACTTGGATTCTTTGAAGGACAATGTTGTAATTAATGTTGATGCTTGACTCAATACTTTTGAACAATCTGATGTGTTTAGAAGAAAATTTCATGAGTTAATTGTTTCAACTTCAAGTTAGCCGTTAAAAGATATTATTAGTGTGAATTAGTCAAACTAATACAACCAGTTGTGTATGACTTTGTCCTGATTTATCTGCTTGGTCTTTCTACTAGGAATTTAGTTGTGCTTGGTGCAAAGGACAAACTGCAACAGAACTCAATGATATTGGAATTTACTGAATTGTATTTGACTGAGGGAAATTGGACATTGGGACCCAAATGAAATTTTTATTAGATATTTCTTAAATATCTTAGAATATTGCTAGATTGAGTGCAATGGATGAGAAGGAAGAATTAAAAGAGAGAAGTGAAATTTTTATTTAGACATTTTCTTTTTATAGAGATTTATATCTGATATATATTTTTTCACAGAATATAGTTGGATTGAGGGGAATGAATGAAAAGGAAGAAAATCATCTCGATTAAACCTAAATTAAAGGATGGATATTTCCCAATAATCTTTGGGAGAATGACAATAAAACCGCAAAAGAATGAATTAACAGTTAGATCCTAGACAAAATTTTCTGAAAAATGAATTGCAGCTATCAATTCTAATGATTATAAACATAAATCTAAATCACAAATCAATTATTATATTTAGAATTTAAATATTTTATTTGCAATTAAAACTTTTAAATTTGCAACTTTTTGTGTCTACATTTACGATTGATTTTTTTAAAAAATTTGTCAGGGACTTAATTATTATTAATTTCCTCTTTTGGAACTTAACTGTTATTCTCCTGTAAAGTTTTGATTACTTTAATTTGGTTTTGCATATATGCTTTGAAAATAAGCCAACGAAGTAGAATTCATGCACGACAATGCACAGTTAGCTAAAAGGAATCTTATCTTCATTGTATGTGCTTTGACTATGTTTGATGCTCAAAAATTTAGACGGTGTCTAATGTGGAACACGAAAAGATGCTAAACTTGAATGGAGACAGCACTTGGCATAGAAAATTCGGATTAAAGTGATTCCAAAATCCAAATCCAGGTAAAAAGTGAGATCTCTGAAGCATAAGAATGATGTTGAAGTCACCGAATTCGAATAACGGAATATGGAGCAAAATAAAAGATGAGAACAGTTTCAGAATAAGATTTTCTAGCCTGACTTCTGTTCAGTTTTTATCTGGATATCTCTTCTGCTCTAGAACTGCATATTTTGCCGCCCCAAAAGTTGTCCTGCATCAATGTTTTTGTTCATATCTTTGTCAATTCAGCCCTCGTTATGCAACTCGTGTCCAACCTTGTTATATCTAAACTTATACGAAGGTTAATTATTTAATGTTGTATCAGATATATTGAACAAATCAAAGTTTTCATTTATGCCTTTAATCTCAAGAAAAGTATAAAATGACAGGAAAATTGCTGGAAGCTGCATGTTGGATGCTCGGAACCTTTGCACAGGATTCTAGATTCACCACTTGCCATTGATGAAGCCTTCTCTTGCCCTTTGGCTGGCAACATACGTATTCACAATCATGTGAGATTCCAACTTACATTGTCTCATGTTCTTTCATTGTAAACTTGACTTAATATATGCTTTTGTATTCCTTGCTACTGTTTATAACCAATCTTCCTTCTCAATATTCCTCCACTTTAAAGTCTGTTGTTTTTAAAATCTATCTCGCCAAGGTTGGTTAATTTTTACTCAGAGCATAAATGTTTTTCTTTTCTTTGTTTAGTTGTGGAAAATATTTTATCAACTTAGATCCTTTACATCTTAAAAGAAATGATTGTATGTGATATACTTGGAAGAAATAGGAAAGTTGATCCTATCAACGGTCGTAAAAAAGTTGTTATTCAGTTTAACACATGATTGTAGAAGACTTTAATTTGAGTTTACGCAATGGCTGACTGGCTGAGCATATCTTGGATGCAGAATGGTGGAAGTCCCAAAGATGTAAAATGCGGAATATGGAGGTAGCTTTGCTTGAATAAAGATTAGAAGCCGTGGTTTTGCCCTCATTTTGTGCTGTAACTTTTTGTTTGTGGAATGGTTGTAGGCTAAAGAACAAAAGTTTCTGTAGCCTTGTCATGCATTGCAATAAATAGTGCGTATATTGTGTGTAGATTTATGTGACAATTTCATTCATAGGGTGGTTGGGTTGGTGGGATCCAGAGGATTTTGTGTAACAAAAAGCAAGGATCTCTCTGCCCGATAGGTGTCCATTCAATAAGTGTTTTCACCTTAGAGAGTGGCAAATACAATAAAAAATCAATTCTTTTGTGTAGTAATGAAACTTCTTCCCAAGCAAACCACCTAAATCCAACTATGCCCTTCTCTTCGTCTGAGAACTCGTCATGTGTTGCGATCATGAGCAGTCTCCGCCGAACTGCACCTTTACGAGTTGATAAAAATGAGATTAAAATGAGGCATCTCAAATCTATTTGGCTTCATTCTTATTTTCAAGTTTGAGATTAAATTAAATGACACAAGTGAAACAGTCCTTAAATCCCCACCACTACAAGATTGACTAATGTAATCATCAAAGCTCTCCTACCTATTTTTGGTCCGTCCCTTGTTAAGTTTGAGAATAAGTTAAGGCGCTTGCATGATACTAACATATGGATATTTTTTTTACATTATCTTCGATTTCTGATATTATTGGTTGTTTTTTATATTTATAAAGCCATTGATAATATTGATTTCTTTAACTTTTTGCTAGTGCGTTAACTTCGAAGCAGTCCATATTTCAATGCTTCTAAATTTTAATTCTCTCGTATGATAAAATCAGAAATCATATACGCCAGAATACAGGAATCTCTCGAGCATTGCACAACAAAATTCAAAAAGACTCATTGTTCATTCCCTTGATCCATGATGACCCCTTCCAATATTCACACAGCCTTTTCACCTCTTCCTTTTCGCCCCACCTCGACCACCCTTCTCTGCCGATGCAGAAGCACCTTTACCTCTTCCAGCTGGTGTCTTCCTGCCACTTAAATTTCCTGTTCCCTTCAAATCTAATTGTACTTGCATGCCTGCATTGCAGAAGAAATCATCAATCAATTATCATCTAAAAGCCCCAGATATATGTTACTACAAACTAATGGCAAATTATGACATACCCTTTGAATTTAAACTTTGAAGATCTGACCGCAGCTTCTCACCAGTGGTGGTACCTTCTAATGACGGGTGCAAAAAAGTTACATGCCGTAAATTAGACTGCCGATAAGAATAATCAAATATTGCAGACCAAACTTACCTAACTCCTCTGTGTCTGAGGAATTTTCTTCTTCACTCTCTTCCAGGGTATCACCTTCACCCTGTTTTGATCCTTCGTCAGATGGTTCTAGGATAGCCGCAACTCGCTTCTTAACAGGCTTTTTCATTCCAGGAATATTGACTAGATCTGCAGCTCGAACCATCCGAGACTTGCTTTCCTCTTTGTATGCTTTTGTCAATGCAGATTTAACAGCAGGCGGTATGCCATCTAGTGGATTTGGATGACCCTGATGCATGTAATATCAAAAATGAACTAGCGCTTGAGGAAGTTTGTAATGATACCATTACGGTAAATCAGTAAATCACCTTGAATTTTGATAGTTCGACAATAGTATCAAAATCCTCTTGACTGACTGAGTACATGTTCATAAATTCCACAACTTTCTGAACAGCTTCATCCTGATCATTTTCACAAGGAAAGGTCATTGAAGTAATATTCAGGTTAAATAATTCCATGTTTACAACCTTCATAAATAGATATGCTTCCAACCTTAGGCAAGACTCTTAGCGGCTCCGTCAACTGTTGAAGAAGTGGCTTAAGATATTCCAAGCGGAGGGTTTCCCTGCAACAGTTAATCAAGAACTATTAAGTCCAGAAATCTACAGGACACCTATGTTCAACTTCAACTATGATATCAAGAACAGACAAATCGGATCAAGTTATTCCAGATGCTTAAAATTGATAGATGTCCCTAATTTTAAAAATCAGATACACATACAGTTTGAAGGTTTGAACAGAAACTGCTCGCAAGTTGCATGAGACAGATCAGTCCCATGATAACTCTTAACAAAATCATAAATAAATGATTTGCATGTACTGACAAGAATGTTTAACAACCAAAGGAAACAGTAAAACGTTAGATGCATGGGAAAACAAGCAGATAATAAACCTAAGGTATTATGGTGAATCCTTATTTACCTTCCTGGACAGGATTCACGAGAAGCAAGAATATGAACATGCAGATCTTCCAAAAGCCTAAAGTTTTTGCCCATTGTTGAGTTTTTCCCCAGCCACCCACCAAACCGATTATAATTCCGTTCTCCCTGGCATATATGATGCAAATTGTGAGTTGCGACACCACATAAAAATCTAAACCTATTACGATCCTTTCAATGAGACCAACATGAACGAGAAAAGCATGAAAACAAAAAATGCATAGCAGGAAAGGAAATCAGAACAACAAACACTTCAAACAAACAAGTATCTTAAAATAAATCTAAAGGCCACACCTCCATCGTAGGCTACAACTGCTGTGATATTTAGAATAACTCACAGTAAAACTACTTCCAAAACAAGTGCATGGACCCAGGCAGTAAAAAATGAAGTTTCTACTAATTGAATCACCTCAAAATCATACATGAATCTGAATACTTTAACATACCTCATACTGTATCAATAAGGTGGAAAAAGTTGACTGCACAAAAACTTAGGACAAAGGGATGAAAGTTCGAACTCATGATTTTCCTCATCAAGTGGGTAAGAGAAGAAATTTAAGGACATATGGTACATTAAAGAATTAGATCAAAACTTCAAGACAGAATCACAAACAGAAAATAAAAATGAAAAGGAAGAAAGGAAATATTGCAATACCATCCATGAGATAAACCCATTTTACCTGTTCAAGTATTTCTCTTTGCCCATGCAACAATGAAGAACTGAAGCAGAAGCAAAGAAAAAGATTGAAATGAATAATTAGATGGAAGAGAATTGATGAGCAAAAGTTCTCATAATCTAAATCAGATATAAACTACATACGGAATTATACTCGATGCAAGAGCACTAGCTTGAGACAGCTGCCACTGCCGATATCTTCGAATCTGTACATTCACTATATCTCCATCAGCAATAGACTCAGCAGCACGGGCAATTAACTTCATGCGCTTCATATCATTGTCATCTTTACTAGCCAAACTAGGTCTATAATTTATATAATTTTCCTGCCATGTATAATATCCCACAAAATAAGTTATAAGGTGTAATTTGACTAGTCCTAATGCAGCATTAAACATGTTTATTATCCAGCTAAACATCATTCAATACTACAACAAGGAATAAAAAGCAAAGACTACTTTGAACTTCCAGATTGTGCTGCATAGCAAAGATCTCTATCAACAGAGTCTGAGTTAAAACATAAATAGCACCCAATAAGTAAATTTCACCTTGAAAGAGTTCATGGATAACATCATCAGGCAAGAAGCAAATAGCCATAGAGCAGGATTCAGATGCCTTTTCAACATTACATTTCCAAAATTAATAAGCAAAAGAAATAAAAGAACCTGAATAAGAAGAGGAACAAGGTCAGGATCACTCATGCTAAGATTAATCCTCTCATCCATTTTTAACTTCCCGGCATCAAAACCAAAAAGCCTACAAGATAAGATGAAAAATTAGCATAAGTAATGGCTTGCATTTCACGTCTTCTAAATACATATGCTTCAGATCTCAAAGTGGAGAAGTCCTTGTTGTGCAAGGCACAACTCTGACAGTACGTAGTTTAACAAGATAAGAACTAATTCCATACTTATCAACAGCAGTGAATGGTGAAATGTCCTCATCCTTTGAACTAGATAAAAGGCGTTGCCTGATGTCATCATAGTTTATAACAGACATGGAGAGGCTCATATAGTGTAACTGATTTAGTGCCATGCGCATGTCTCCATTAACTCTTTCTGCTAGCTCCTCAAGAGCAACCTGTAATTACAATACAGTTAAGATAATTATGATTTGTGATTGACAAATATCAATATCAATGGTTCAAAAAAGTTCACTATCCTCAAAATCCACACAAGTAATTGCAATTACAGGCTCCAGGCAATAGATAGAACTAATTAATGGATAAGGCTTATACCTCATTGACTTGAAGCCCTTCAGCTTTCGCAACATACATCAACCTCTTTGCCATCTGAAATAAATCAAATCCAGCATCAAAACAGAGAGAAAACATTTCCATATCACATCAGAGTCCGTAGAGAAAATTAACAGACTTCAGAAACTGAAGATAAATGTTTAAAAGATATATCTAGGTCCAGTCAAACTTTGAGCTCATTAAACTCAATAATTCAGCAACCCACTTGGTAGAAATTATACATCCTGGGGCAAACAAAATGGATCTTTTGCAAATAACCCATGTTTCAAAGTTAAGTGATATGTCCTGTGAAGCTGACGTAATCATTGAAGAGGAAGGATTAAGAAATTATTGCAGCCTCGTTTGTTAATTTGAAGAGCGAGGGATTCCCTCCCCTTTCTACGATCATTACTCAACATTTTGTGTTCTTTTTATTATTTTTGAAGTGAGAGCTTAAAGGCCATTTTTAACCTTTAACTCCATTCCATGTACCAAATGAACCTTCAAAAAACACCATATCAGCCTTCAAGAGACAAAATCCATTTTTACCATGAAAGGACCAAACAAGTACAGGAGAAGAAATCAATTCTCAACACTGTGGTATACTTCTCCTAAAAAAAGAAGCCAGCTCCGCTACACTTTCTGCACAAATAAGCATGATCATCTATAAAAAGGATTCCTGATTTCCTAAAGGTTTCATGAGCATAACAGAACTGGCAAGAAGAGCATTAACAGGACCTAATGGGAACAAAGGTTTTATAAACAAGAGAAACAAGAATATTAGGGGGAAAAGCAGGTGCAAAAATACCTGTTGCTTTGTAGGTTTTCGAAAGCTAAGCAGCAGACAGTAGTTCAGGAGACTTTTCAGTTTCTGGCTGTAGCGGTCATTACAAATACAGATAATAGGAATTTTTGATATCTTGATACTAGCAATAAGATCAGCAATGCCACCCCGATCACCTGCTGACATGCCATCAACCTCATCCATAATGAGCACAGTTTTGGAATGCTTCGCCCTGAAATATTATGGAATTTACAGGAGCCCTTATATTTTATATATTCATTCATGCATTAAAAATTATCATAAGCAAGACCAACCCATCTGTCTTGGCACCCAACGCTTTGTTGGTGACAAGTTCCTTTATAGAGTTTGCATTGCTTCCACTGATTCCTTTAACAATTTTGCTATCAGCCTTCCCACGGCTGTCACTAGCATTAACCTGAAATTCATCAAGAGATGAATTAGATTATGAAAGATATTGCCACAAATCTATTGTAAAGGGACATGCTGTCACCTCTATAGCTTGGAAACCAAGCATCTTACAGACCACCTTTGCTGAAGTGGTTTTTCCTATACCAGGGGTTCCACTTAATAAGACAGCTTTCTTTGAACCAGTGTCATTTTGCTTTTTCCCCTTTTTATTTCCACTGTCAAGAAATTGCTCATTCCAATGTGCCAACCAATCATGAAGCTGCTTAACCTGTATTCCACAACATCATGAAATTTTAAAACACTTCTTCAAATTCAGGTATGAATGGAATTATACTAAACCACAAAGTATGGTGATAAGGGTTGGCACATACAAGGGACTGATTTCCTATGATGTCATTTGGAACCTTGGGCCGATACTTCTCTGTCCACATGAAAGAAGACTGTGCAGAACTTTCTGTCTTAGGCTTCACTGGAGCTGAAGCTAAGCCTGAAGGTTGGGTGAGTGCAAGTGTTGATAGAACCATAATAATTAAAGCATACAAACAAGAGAATACCCATGCATTATAACAATTTCTCAACTCTTATGATTAGGTGCCAAGTCAAAGATGTGCAAAAATAAAGAAAAAGAATAAACACGAACAATAAAGAAAGAAAGAAAGAAAGGAAAAACATGAATGATGACGAACAAAAACATCAAGGAATATGCTCATCAGGTCTTACCCTTGATTCCAGCTTTCTGAGGACTTTTTGACTGGGTTGCAACAACCTTTTTCACCGCTTTTGTTGATTCTTCCCGTGGAGGAGCCTTTGCAGGATTTGATGCACGAATCATGTCAAACAACCCATCCTCAGTGAGAAATTTTGTACTATAAAACAAAATAAGTGAAATACAAGTTAAAATAGAAAATAGAACAAGGATATTGTTTGCAGAAATTTCTGAAAATATGCAATACTAACCCCAGCTCTTTTGCTTTTGAAGATTTCCGACCTCCAATATCTTCATCACATAGAAGATAATTCTGCACTCAAAATATGTTAATCACATGCCAATAATGAGAATTCAACCACGTATGAAGCAAGATGTTTAATCAGAGCACCGTTTTTTTGCTGACTGATCCAGTGACACGACCACCATGGCGTTTAATCAAATCTTCTGCTTCTTCTCGTTCCAAACTATAAATATGTGCAAGTTAATCCCACAAAACTCAAGATAGTGAACTATGGATACGCCAAAGCTATGTACCATTATCTCTTATTCAAGGTAGAATGAGAATCTAATCTACATCTGAAAAATATTTGACGGAGAAGAAAGAAACTGAAAGGCAAGTTCTACCTGTGCAGGTACAAAAAGATGTTAGAATTAAAAGGACGAAGAAAATACCTGTCCAATGTTCCACTGATGACAAAAGTCAAACCAGTCAAACAATCAGGAGCACCCTCAGGGACTTCCTGAAATACAAAAATAGCATGAAATTTTTAGTGCTCAGAAGAAATGATATTATTATTTGATATATCCTTGTATGACAATTATGCACCTTTTCTCCTTTGTGAGGAGGATCTTTTCTTTCGCCAAAATTCACAAATCCACTCCTTCCACCACCTCTACCCCGTCCACTAGATGATTGTGCAGATGTTCCTCTTCCTCCACATCCCCTTCCACCAGATTTAATGGGTGATACATCAGCTTTAACACCATCCTCATCACTTTCTTCCAAATCCGTAGACTTAAGTGGAATTTCCCTACCAGATTCACCCTTAAATTTTTTTATTGGGGTAGTATCAACTGATTTCCTTTTAGATTTGAGCAAGGCAGAGTCATCATCTTCATCTAAATGAATTTTTTTTGTAAGAGGCTTCTGTAAATCCTCACTGTCCTTAGGAATCTTCCTTTTAGCAGGAAGCTCCAGTGCCTCTTTTTCGTCTTTTTTGTTTTTGTCAGTGGCAAGATATTTGCTAGTTTTCCTCTTCCCTGAACTATCTTGGCCTCCATCCACCTGCGAAGAGATCTTTCATTCCTTTCATGTTCATCGTGAAGTTGACAGTAAGCAAAGTATGCAAGGCCAATCAAAGGAAATATGAAATCATATCCAGTCATTCATGACCCCCCCCCCCCACAAAATGTTCATTATAACAAGCATCTGAACATTTAACAACCCTACGGACATTCAGTGCCTTGATTTGCAAAAGTTTTGACATGCAAGTCAGGATTCAAGCCAAGCAGGAACCAAAATCTAAAAATAAGCCCTACTTTTGATCAAGCCAGGTCTTAAAAGTTAGATGGTCATAATCAAAACAGAAAGAAAAGCAAATACAGTCTTTCGCATTCCCATCGACATGCCACTTAGTCATGGAAGCAAATCCTCCACCATACTGACTTCAAAACAAGCCTGCTCAACAGACAATCTATACATGTAATACAAAAGAAAGCATGAATCTGAATACCAAACTCTTCACATGCAACATTCCCTAAAGTTGTTAACTTAGAGACTAGAAATTATAGCTAAATGGTGACTTGATAAACGCATTTCATAAAAATCCTGATCAACGTGAAATAAGCACAAGTGGAAAAAATCACCAAAAAAGGGGCAACGAGGCTCACTGGTTTTTCCGGTTGTGGTTTAGCAGGAGAAGGCTTCACTTGATTCGTAGGCTTCGACTCCGAAGCATTGCCCTTGTTATGGGATTTCATAAACCATTTCCGAATATCCGACTGTAACATCAACAGAAAAACCCAAAACAATGTATCAAAGAATTTCAAGAATGCCAACAAAAATCGAAGAGTCTAAACAAAACATCAGAGCAAAGTACAATTTCCTTGCCAACCGTTTCAAGAAGCCAACGAAAGCACGAGGCAGGGAGAGAAACAGCAAGAACCCTAACTCACCATTTATACGCAAAGGCGGGAGCAGTTTCAGCTTGGTAGGCTATCGTACGGTTTCGTCACTGCAGTGAAACACTAACGGCCGAGACGATGGGCGTGGACAGGGCGGTCAAGAATATTGAGACAATGCACTCAAACCCGTCTTTCTAGTGTTTAGACTTGAGAGAGACTCTAAAATGATGCAGCGGAGCTCAGAAGGTAAAACGAGATAAAAATGAAAGGTTACTTACTGCCGAACAAAGGTGAAAGGTTACTGATCCGAATTATTATTGATATAATTTAATTTAATTTTTGTAACTTGATATATTTACTAAAATTATTTAGTGGAATTTTGATTGTTCGGTGCTCGAATATTATAAGACCCGACAAAATAAAGTTTGGTAAGACTTGGTAAAATTTTATATTTGGTAATTTATAACATGGTGTTGGGGATGATGAAAATTGACTCTTCGAACAAAAATATCATTTATTTTAAAATAATTTTTTTATTAAAAAATATAAATTATTTTTAATGGAATCTCACTTCAATAAAATAATTATTTACTTTTAAATTAACCCTATCTTTTCATATTTACTCTTATTTAATAGAGTATTTTATCTTAAGATAAACATAGAGTGATTTATTTAATATAATTACTTTTGACAAGAAGATAATGATTACACTTAAAAAAGTTACATCCTATACTCAAAAAATGCTATAAACATTGTATTTTATTCGGATTTTCTGAATGTAAATTAGAAATAAATAAAAGGTCTAATGAAATTAAGTAAGTTAAATAAATAAAATAAATAAGGAAAAATAGGGTTTTATAAAAAAAATAATGATAAGATAATATCTTCATAACTTTAAACAAATTTTTTTCTCTTTTCTTATTGACTCCCAATTCCCTTCATTTTTGTTCCTATCAAATTAAATGCTTTTAATATAAATTTAAAAATATGAAATAATAAAGAAAAGTCAAAATAGAATTTGCCTTGATATACTTGGTTTTGTCATTAAGAGAAAAAATTTTAGTTGGTGCCTGTAAAAGGTAGAGCTTATAATTTGAGCGGGTCATGCTTATTTACAGTGGGTTTATTCAAATTAGAAGATATAAAGTATCCTATCATTTCTAAAATTCTCATATAATCAAATTCGACCCTAACACTTTTAGGTTTTAGACTTATTTAGGTCGACTCAAATATTCAAAATTTTTTAAAAATATTTTTCTTTATTTTTTAACCAATTGTAATTTTTAAATATTTATATTAAGTATTAAATATTAGTTTAACTTTAAAAAAATAAAGTAAAAAATAATAATTTATCAATTTTATACTTAAATAACTCTGTTATTATTTTATTGTATTGTGTATAATTTATTCATGAATATCTCATTTACTTGCAACTCAATATTTTAGTTGTTTAAATTTTAAATATCATTCTTATCATGGTCATATATAAAAAATTTATATATTTTAATTAAATTATACTATTTTAATTATAATTAAATTGATCTCTATTTAATCACGGTTACTAACTTAAAATCATTACCTTGTTTAGTTCAAAATTTTTAATAAATTTTGAGTAACTTGTATTTTTTGTCTTTAAAAATATGAGAAAAAAACTATCATTATATTATATAAAATAAAATTATTTAATTATGAGTAAAATACTATTTTTAAAATTATTTTTTTAAAATTTTATATTATTTAACCCCTACATACAAGAGATATTTACTCTAGTTTATTCTTAATTTTTAATCAAGTTTAACATGAACTATAATCAAATAATTACTCAAGAATACTATTCTATTTATTATATTTATCTAGTAGTATAATTGGGAATTCATACATATTCGAGTTTTATTTTTAAAATTATCTTTAATTTAATTTTTACTTTAAAATTAATTATCTTATTTTATAAAAAATATATAATATATTTTTTAAACACTCAAATGATGTATAGGACTCAACATTTTTTAAGAAATAATTGGGTCTTGGAATATAAAAATTAATATTAAAATATATTTTAAATATTATCTTATGATTTTTATTGAGTAAAAATAATAAAATGATGAAATTATAAATATTTTTATGTTTTTGAATAAATGTAGTCATACACTCAAATATATGATATTTTAGTATAAAATGACATAAAACTTAAAGAATTAATTAATCATTATTATATTTTTTTAAAAATGTTATTTTTATTCAGATATTTGGGCTAAGTCCAAACCTGATTAAGCTTGGCCAAAAAAATTTTCCTGAATAGTGTAACATCCTAGGTTTTTGAGCTGGAAATTTTTAGTATTTCCAAGGATAATTTGATCAATTTAAATAAATTATTAATTAATAAGGTTTATGGGAGACTAATATAATTTTTTAGATCTTTGAATAACCTTAGAAGAGGGTTAGGTCGATGTTTGAGCAGGCCATAGCATGAAAGGAAGTTTAAATTTTGGTGAAACTTTTTGTGTCATGCGCCGGCAGATGTGTCAATATGCCACGACGCATGTGCAAAATTGCACTTATTAGATCATGAAATAGACTTGAAATTATAAGTGAGATAAGAGAAATTGTGAGGAGGCAACGAGAAACAATCGATGTTTGCTGGGGCATAATCCCTAGACTACATTTGAAGCATTTAGAACTTGAATCATTATTGGGTAAGTTCTTCATTTCCTCTCCTTCATCTTTATGCGAAGATTTCTAACTTTTAAGGCAATTGGGGCTTTAATTTCAATTTTCTTAGATTTAGACTGAACCTATTGACTTATTTAAGGTCCTGGAGAGTTAAATCGAGCCTCTAACCTTAAGTTTGTGAGTTTTATGATGATTTAAAATTTTTGCTGAGGGTTTAGACGAATCCTAGGTATAATTTGAAGATTTTAAGACAATGTGAAAAATTAGCTAGTGATTTTGGGGTTTTGAAATGTTTAATAGGATAGTTAGAGTATTTAAAATGATTGATATAGTTAGATAAGAAATTTGAGTATTATAGAATCTAGTAAATTTGGGGTAATCTGAAGTGATAATTGATGATTGTCATTTAATTATGTAGATTGAGTGTTGCTCGAGTTACCTCATGCATATAGTACATATGAAGCTAACATTGAACTACAGTAACTCTTTTATGTGACAAAGAGTCAAGATAACAAAATAATTTACACTATTTGATTATTTTACTTAATTGTTTGTGAGTATATTTATTAATTTAAACTTCAAATTTGATAACCTTGCATATTACAAAATGTGGTTTGGTGCATGAAAAACTATTTGCAAACAATGAGATTAGTAAAAATTTATATGGACTGGTTAAGAAATTTAAAATGTATGTGTTACATATGATAAGTGTGAGCATAATCGTGTTAAGGAGTGGGAGTTCACCTGTAGGAAGGAATAGTGAAAGTCCATATGGCATGCATCTTTTTAGTGTCTAGTGAGGTACGATATTGGAGATTTTCTCCTTAATATCCATGCAGGATATGGCATTAGAAAGTGATGCTCCTTAACATCAGTGATGTGGTGTTGAAGTAATGACACCTCAATTCGTGTGTGATAGGGGGAAACTGTAACGTTCTTGATTTTAAGTCAGATTAATTAAACTCAAATAGACTAATTAAGTGTATTGGTGAGGTGTGTGGCTAGAGAGGCCTAATGGGTGTGTTTAGTCTCGATTTCATATCTAAACACGGGTCTGAAGGATAATCAGGTTACCCGAAAATGGAAGAGGAAGAATTTCTAAAGAAGTAATTTTGTGTCACGTGCTGCGGCTTAAGGATGAGCCACCGCAGTGCATATGCAACAACACACCTGAGAAAGGCTCTTTGTGCCATGTGTCGTGGTGCATTATACGTCTACCACGGTGCATGGTCAGATTTCTGCTGTATTAAGTTGCGAAACTGAAGCAAAAGAGAAGAGAAAAAAAAAGGGAATCGAGAGAGAGAGAGAGAGAGAGAAGAGCTGAGTTAGAGCTTAAAGAAACCAACTTGTAGGAGTAATTTGAAACTCATAAACACCAAAGGTAAGCTTCCTTACTCAAATCTTTCTCTTTTCTTTCATTTTCTTGATGGTAGAAGTTAGGGTTTGAATAATAATGGTGATTTTTAGTCCATGGAGGTTTTGGGTCCAAACCCATTAACTTAAATAGAGTTAATGAAAGTAGATTGAGCTAAGTGTGAGGTACAATGATTGGGAAATTAAAGTTCAATGATTCATTTAGGTTGAAGTTGCTAGATATCCACTGGTTCAACAAGAAAACTAGTTTAGGATGTATGACACCCCATAGTGTGAGAAATTAAGGAAACTGTGTCTCATAAGCGAGTTAGGTATGCCTTGATAGAGCAATCTCCTCACAAGTGTTCAGGCTAGGAAAGTCATGGAATATAGACTATCCCATTATATTATAGCCCACGGTTTTATGTCAGAGAAATAAGCAAGATACAAGGGAGGTGTGATCATGCATGTAATGAGTAAGGGCACATAGTTGTCTGTATTGTGACCTTGATAATGATAATCATGAGTTGAGTTTTAATTACTCCCGATTACCTATCGATGACTTATGTGACCAACTCTCTCTTAATATGGAAAATTACTATCGGCATTATTTTCCCAATTTGCTGTTATGCTTGAAATTGTGGATGCATATTCTTAAATGATTTACCTGGTTTGAAGAATTATTTATATGCCATTTGAGTTATAAACTAATTGACATGTATTAGTATGGGTTAGTTAGACCTTGGCTACTGAGTGCTGTACTCACTCCACTATCTTCAATATTACAGGAATAGCTCAAGATGTGTGGACAGAGAAAAGCGCTCAGAGGCTTAGGATCGCGACCCTATTGTAGTAGGCCTATTTATTTTGAGTATATATATGTGTAAGATAATTTCAATTGTCAATTAGAAATCCTCATTTGATCCTTGCTTGCATTATGTAAATTGTAAATTGTAAGTATATTTTAGGCCTCAGGGAATGAGTTGATAATATATGGTAATTGTAATAGGGTCAAAATACTAATACAAATAAGAGTAGACATATTATGAAATGATTATGGAGCACTTAATAAAAACTGTGGTAAACTCCCCATTGTATGTTTTTTAGATCAAGGGGTTGAGTAGTGAAAATTTAATTTGTGAGTATTTCATGTGATATTTGGCATTGCATAAGTTAGTTATAATGATTTGCATGTGGTTTAATTGGTGTCAGTGGCTATTGGCATTTTGGCAAATGGTTTGGACACTTAATTTTATGAAAATTATTGAAAAAGTATAAGTTTTAAAAGTGTATCTAATGTTTAGTTTCAAAAGAATTTGAGTCTGAAATCAATTTCATTAGTTAGAGCTCAGAAAGAGCTTTCTGTAGATACCTAATTCGTGTCAATTAAACATCGGACGAAGATTTGGAGCGTGTTGGAAGTTGCTTTTAATGCTGTGAAATTGACAGTAGAATTTACTGTCAAAATTTATGTAATTGCGTCGTGGCGCATGGTACCAGAATCTGCGGCGCATGTCACAGAGGTGAACACCTTAAAATTTTTCAAAAATTTTCTTGTTTCAAATTATTAAACAAATATACTCACTTATGTAACGATCTTATGCTTCTACATATTTATGAAATTCTAATTTATCTAATTGTACGACTTTGAAAATGATTTTAATTTTGTAAACTTGGGATTCTCATTTTGCTAACTATTGAAACTTGGTATTACATTAATCAATATAATCCCATTTCTTATTTACTTGAGAGTTGGAGTAATTATGGATTTAGAAGGAGGAGGATATTATAAAAATCATAGTTCGAAAGTGGGATAAGATGCTTTTGTCGGGTGATTCTACCATCAAAGGTAAGCTCAGACCATTGTGGATATGCACTTGGTTCAATAGCCTATAGTTTTAGTCAGGATAATGTGGAGGCTCGGATGGTAGAATGATCATGCTAGTGGTAAATGATTTGTGTTGATGAAAAAGAGTATATTATAGTCTGTTAAGAGTATATTTTGGTGTTTAATAGCTTTACTCCCCTATGGTTGTACATGTTAATTAATAGTAGTGAATTATTCTGTTACTGATATGTTTATCTCACCTTGTGGTTATATTTTACAAGTGAGGGCTCTGATAGGGGTAAGGAGAAGGAAAGGACGATTGAAGAGTAAAGAACGTTATTATATAGCTCTTCCTTTTTTTTTGGTTTTGTAATGAATATTGTTATAATATAATACTAACTTAAAATCATGACATTGTTTTGGTTATCACTTGTATGAATTTATGATATGTATACATATCTTAGCCCAAGAATGATGTTATTATGCTTGAATGGGTGTGCTTGGCCTAGATATAATTATAAGTGATATATTTAAAGTGATTTATTTATCAAAATGACCAAATTGATATGTGTTAAGTTTTACCCAAGCTTTTATGTTATTGAAAATTAGGGCTTTAGTGATTATTTTGAGTGTGAATACTTAATTATGTGATATAATTGATTTGTGATGTTGTAGGTGGTCCATTTGAGGTGATCAAAGTGTCTCTGAAGTTAATAGCACTTGGTATTATGAGTTGGATACCTTTGCGTGTGTTTTGAGGTGAAAAAAAATCAATTTGAGTTTAGGTGGCCATCTTTTAAACGAATGATTATTAGAGTGTGAGACCGGTATTATTAGTTAGAAGGCTCGAAGAACTTTGTGTGGACATTTGAACCACTCAAATTGGACGTCAGATGGTGAAATGGTGCACTCTGAAAGTTTGGAGTGCTGTCATAAAAGTAAGTGTGCGCTGCAGCACAAGTGCCATTCAAGGGACACATTCGTCTATGCCATCTGCTACGGCGGGTGTGGCTTACGCCATAACGAACGGGCTAGAATTTGAAAAATTTTCAGATGGTTTCAGCTTTTTTTGAAGTGATTTTAATTTCCATACTTTAGTTATCATATTTAATCGATTTTGAACTATGATTTGAACTCAAACAACATTTTTAAAAAGAGTTTTTCTTGAGATCTTATTGTTTTAAATTAATTATCTTTTAAAACGTTTGGGCTGTGATAATTTCTTCTTGGGATTTTATCTAATCCTGATTATCACAACAGCATGTAAAAGTATTGTTCTGATAATGTCAAGGCGAATATTACAAATAGGCTTGAATATTAAAACATATTATTTTTTATGATTTGTCATGAGTGATGCTAAATCACTATGTGTACTTAAAGTGCCAATCAATAGATTATGAGTGATATTAAATCACCGGAGGTTTCAATACTGATTATTTTTCTCTTATCCAAAGGTACTTTCTTGGAGAAATTTCTATTCAAAAAATAAATATAACAATATAACCCAAAATATCAATCCTTTTATAAAAGAAATTAATTAAAAGAATTTTAAAAAAATTAAATAATAATAATTTGAATTTTGCGGACTTTGATTTTCATCACAAAGTATGTAGGTTCTAAGTCTTGATCTTATATCAAGTTTTCTTGTGTAAATAAATAATTTATTTTTATTTTTTATCTTTATTTTTGCATGTGATTAAAGAGTAATTAAGATATTATTAAAAGGTCAATTACTTTACTAATCAATTTAGGGTAACTATTTTTATGAACAGGTGTTATGAGGTGCTTAATATTTTTTCTACATACAATCAATTCTCGAATTTTTTTTGCAAACCATCGTTTTTTATTATATAGTTTTTTAAAATTTTTTAAAAAAATTGGTAACAACTCTCATTTTTCCAACGGTTATTGACTATTTTTCTCTTTGAGAAAGTCACAATTTGAGTGTGACAAATGCCTTATGTCTTTTTAATAGAGGGAATAGTGTATTTAGTTAAATTTATCATGCAGCACTAATTTTTCTTAAAAAACACTAATATTTCAATTTTTATTTATTTCCAATTTATAAATATTTTTGAAGATTCGCAACCAAAAACAACGCAGGGAGAGGATAACAAGATCAAGGGAGACTGGATGAGTGACGTATGCGGAGCGGGAAAGTGGCAGCTATGGTTTTTACTTTCTAGCATTGGAGAAGGGGCCAATGACCATACTGTATAACTTGATATATATATATTTTTTCCTGCCAGCAATTTTGATAATGGTTATTTTATTGATGTCAAACATACTATCGGTCTATTTTGTTAGAGTTAATTAAAGTGGTGAGTGACAATACAAATTTCATTATATATTTTTTAATGTTTAATAATTGAATTAATGATATTAATATAATATTTGCCCCTTCAAGTTAAGGCCCTCTTCACCTTACAATTTTTTTTTTTTGTGGTTTCAAATCTTTCAATACCCTGAAGTTACATCAGATTTCCACTGATCTTAATCGAGCCGTTTCCCTTTTTTTGTTTGACAAAAAAGGGACTCAGCTTATTCAAGAAGTCTGCTGAGTAATGCACTGCATTCATTCCCCACAAAAAAGAAAGAAAAAGAAAAAATCTACCCGCCAAAGAAGCATTAAAAAAAAAAAGGATAAACATGATTTTTAATTTCTGTATTTTATTCGCATTTTATTTTTAATCCTTATACTTTTTTTAGTGTTTTAAGTCCTTATACCTTTATTTTTTATTGTTTTCAATCCCTCTATGAACAAGGTATAGGGACTTTAGAATAATTCAAAAGAATTAAAGATAAAAGTGTAAGAATTTAAAATATTAAAAAAAATATATGAATCAAAAATAAAATGCAATTAAAGTATATGGATAAAAAATTATGTTTGCCAAAAAAAACAAAATGATGACAAGCATGTCTGGTTGACCATCCGATTTGGCTAGGAAGTCTTACTAGAGATCATTGCATTCTTAAAGTATGGTGGTGAATAAATGAAATGTTGAACAGTTAGAGAACTTCTACATTAACTCAATATACTACATAATTCATGTTTTATTCAATAAAAATATAATATTTAGATAATGTTAAATATAAATTAATTTTTTTATTAATGATGATAAAGAAAAAAAAGAAAAAAAATTAAATAAGCATTCTCTAATTAAAAAAATCATTAAAAATAATGGTGTAAAAGATTTTATTTCATTGAATTGGTACAATTTTATTAAATAAAATATAAATGCTGTGATATATTACATTCATACAAGAGTTTCTTGAATTGTCATTGGACTTTTTATGGATCTTTTAATGTTAAGTTTTTTTTTTTAAACAAAATTAGTAAGAAGATATTTTAACATTTTCGTATGAAAATATATTTGAATGCTTTACTATTTTTCGTTCAGTTAAATAAATTCTAATTGAGATTTGAGGAAAAATTAGTGTTATATTTGTTATTAATTTTATATTTATAAACAATAGTGCTTATAACTTAAATTTTGAAATACTCATATTGATGATCAAGAGATCGTGGCGCTTAATGTGACCTTTTAAACTTGTTCTAACTTCCTTTCACAGATTGAGATCATACTTTTCCTTTTTAGATCAATATTGTATAAGATATTTCAAGACGCAAAATATAATTAAGACTCTCTCAAAACATTTCAAAATCAAAAGATTTTGAACCCTAAAAAAAGACGACTTATAAATGTCAGATGTAACTTTCTATACATCATCTCTACAAACAACTAAATTGAATTAATTTTATTGCCATGTTGCTGGACTTAAAACTAACATACAATAATAGTAAAAAATTCTTCAAGATCACTTGTTACCATAGTTGATTTTGGAAGAGAGACTTTAATATAACCTTCTTTACGAAATACGTTGGTAAAAATTATACTGTGACCAATGACATAAAAAGGGGAAGCTTCCCAATTAGATCTTGATTGCTGTAGTTGTTTACAGTACAAAGACATGCATGATTATTAATTGGCAACGTGGAAGTAAAAATGAGCCTCCAGGTCCAGTCTCCAGTTCCATGCTTTATTTCAAATCATAAACTGCAACAAAAGGCATGAGAACACTTCCAATCCAGAGCTTACCATCCCTCTCTTCCACTTCACTCACAGCTCTAACAACTTTTCCCTGACTATCCTCCAATATCTGCAGAAGCTTACCCTCAGGACTATACTTAACAATTACTGCGTGGACCCTCAATCCCATCTGAAGTAAGTATTGAATCCTTGCTGGAATAGGAAGCTTGAGTATGAAGTTTCTGACCTGTGGGTAATGTCCATTTATGTAACTGTACATAGACCTTCTACAATGAACAGCCACCCAAAAGTCTCCATCTTCATTGACTCTCACATTGTCGGGGAATCCAGGAAGAATTGCTAAAACCTCTGAAGTCCCAGCTTTGTCGCCTTTTAGCCAGAACTTACGTAACCTAGAGAATGAGAGAGGAAGAAGAAACTCTGGGGTCAGTAATATGAACATGAATTCCGATTTAGTTCCGAACTCTTTGAATCCAGTGCAAAATCCCCCATTGTCAAAAGCATTCGCTCTATATATTGCGCCTTTATAAAAACTCTGTGCCAGGTTTCCCAACAGAAGTCACTTTATCTATTGCACCTATATAATATTTGACTCAACCTCAAAATATTTGGTTCTCGAAAAATTGAATTTTATCGTTTTGGAATCTTGGAAAGATGAAATCAGAATGAAGTCATCCTCCTGAACGATTACAAAAGTGGGGGAAAAAATCCCCTTGATTATTGAATTGATAATCACGCCTTTTTTTCAACAAACGAAAATGGGGCTTTGCTTATTGCTTTAGTTTTACAAAATGATGACCTAACATCAGGTTCACGTCATTTGAAAGAAAAGCTTATCAAGGTAAATTGTCTGTGGTAATAGCATGTAACTCAAATGTGAAATAATCATCAAGCTCTCTGACCTAGGATGATTAATAAGTGTTAGACTAAATAATGAAAAAAAATATATTTGTAGCAATGACAGCCTAAAATCATTCAGATTCCATACCTACACACGGACATGGATCATACATATGTAAATTTATAAAAGACACTAGACCATATATATAGAGAAAGCAGGAGTCGCTAAATAATAGTTTCACCTGCCAATAGACCCTTCACAGAAGACAAAAAAGGAACCATCCTTGCTTAAGGAAATGCCATTGGGAAATTGAACATTCCTGACAAGAACAGTGGTTTCCTCTGTGGCGGGGTTGTATTTCAAAACCCTGCCACTATTCTCGCCAGAGAATACCAGCTGAATAAAATTCCTACAAAAAATCCATGTCAGAACCAAGAATTCAAGACTGGGAAGAAATTAATAAGCAGCACAACAGAATTCTGAGCTCAGAATTCTAAATATTTTCCACAACTTTCAACAAGCTCAGAATTCTAAATATTTTCCACAACTTTCAACAAGCTTCCCAATGTGAAATTCTTTTTGTGCTCTGATGAGTATCAGCACATTGGCATTCGATGTTTTACCCAGAAAAATGATATCAGACATCAATGTTATTCCAAGTGGTCGCAGGAGTCTTAGCCACAATGTATCATCTCTTTGTAGCTTTCTGTTTTGGGAAGAAAAGCCACCCCATAAATTAATACTCATCATTAGATTTATTTTCGTTAACTATTGGCAAGAGTATGGCAGTCCCCAACCAACACATATTATTCATACTAATTAAACGGTGGTAAACAAAATTGTCACCCACCCACCCACACCCACACACACACACACACACACACACACATCATATATAAGCACAGGACAAGGGGAATTGCGGCAGTAATAAACTATAATCAATTGCGCAGGCATCTTTCAGCATGTTCTATTTGAAAACTTTTCTTATTTCCAGAATCATGACAATCAAAAAAGGTGCAGTCTCAGCAACCAGCAACTAAAAAAATTGAACAATACAAGCCTACCTCCTTGGATATTTAGTGCTGCTATCTGTGAAATAAACATTTCCTTCTGCATCAACATCCACATCGTTAGTAAACCTGAGAGGCACTCCTTCAGCCTCAGTTGTAAGAGACGTTGCCAAACCACCCTCAGGCCCCACCTTCATGAGCCCAAAATATGCATCAGCGATGTATAAATCGCCTGTTTTCTTGTCAAATCTGAGTCCCAAAGGTCTTCCGCAGATGTGCTCATTCTTCACATAACTAAAGGGTGTAGCAGATGGTATAGGATTGCATATTTCTGACCTGTATCCGAAATGTCATATTCTTAAGCCATGGGAAGGAAGACTTGGATGCGTTGTGCTCATTAAACTTTGATAAGAATAAGAGACTACAATTTGGAAGGTCAAAGTCAAAATGAAAGGGGCTCAAAGAATTGCTCTTAAATATTCATTATTCTGTAAACTATCTCAAACGAAGATGAGAAGAGTACTGGGTTGTGAATACAGTTCTGGTAGATTTTAAAATTTGAGAAAACATAATCATTCATCCCTGTAATTTTATTATCTTTTGCTTTTAACACTGGAAACACTGAAACTATAAGGATATGAACAACAAGCGTCACCCACTCTTGTTGAAACTATGGGGACCGATGGTTGTGTTTTCCCTTAAAATTTAAATGAATTGTCCACTTGTTCACCTTTCTTTCTCAATAATCTCATTTCACCACTTGATTACAGCAATTATTCATTGTACAAAATCAGCGAATAATTCTCTCTTGAAGAGTTAGAATTGAAAATAACAAATCATTTCTATCTGTCTGCAGTATTGATAAAAAAATGGAATTCTGAAATCTAAAAATATAATATAAATGAGACATCTTAATCTAAGTGGTATCATGTATCACACCAATAACAACAAATCTCTACTTACCACATAGTTGATGAATTCAATTGTCTAGCATTTGAATTCTAATAAGCTTGCACAAAGACCACGGACAGAAAGACCACACCGCCGTTGTAGTCAAAACCAAAATTGAAAAGAAACAAAACAGTTGTAAACAATGGACGAAAACTATTTCACAGCTAATAACATGACAAAGTAATGATTCACCAAAGGTGCCATACAGTTATTTAGGGAGAAAAAAAAACAAAAAATAAATCCTGCTTTAAATAGGGACTTAAAGTTTTAAAATCCATTTCCAAGAATTCAAAATTTAGCTATTGAGGTAGAAGAGAGGGAGAAAAATTCAGACCTGTTGGACGAAGTATAAGCAAAATCAGTCCAAGAGTGACCATTCCAGAACAAGATTCTCCCATCAGCGACGCCCGTGTAAGGCCCGCGTCCAAGAGGGTCAAAGGCAATGCTCTCAGGTCCCTGAACTTGATTCAAAAACTTAATCTCCGACTTCTGCAATAAGTTTTCTTTGTCAACGTCCGCGGGGACATCGGACCAAGCCGGCAAGTCGATTTTGCGGGCTTCGAACTCCGGGAAGCCGGCGATGGGGCTGTGCCCAAAAGGATCTAACCCACAGTAGAGAGCAATGAGGAGAAAGAGAATGGCAAGAGCTCCAGCCAGTGTCATCGCATAGAACTGAAAGCTTCAGTCCAGGGGTCGGCGGAAATTACAATTGCAAGCACCAAAGAAACAAGGTTTTTAAAATGTTGAGCCAGAGAGTCAATGCAGAAAATTATAAAAGAAATATTTTTTTCAGCGAGGAAGGTAGGACAAGAAGACGATGTCACCTTATCTAATTTTGGAGTTTGGACTGCGAGAGTGGTAGGTGAGCCATTTCGCTGGGATTGTTGGGAGTTAGCAGTGGGTAGAGGTTGAAGTGTCAATTATGTCCTAGGAATTGGATTATCTGACATTGCTGTCCTCAGCTTTCCCTTTCAGGCTCAATTTACACACAGACCGTTCTGTTCATTCAAGAGTCCACCTGTTAGAATCCCCGCGAACGAGCAAACAACAAAGCAAATGCAACTGTGAAAGTGTGGCGTCATTGGCCCGGAGAATATGTTGTGCGATTCATCACTGCCTCGAGCTGTGTGTTGTGAACCTAAATCCAACCAAATGTGTATAGCGTATGTTTGAATTAAAAAATTTATAATTAAAATTAATAAATTAAAGTTAAAAAAAAAGTAACATGATTTATATTTAAATATTTTTTAAAAAAAATTAGTCAAATAAATTAAAATTTATTTAAATGATTTGATTCAAAAGTCAATTGAAATGTTTAATGATAAAAATAAATATAAATTTTTTTATATATTTTTTAACTAATTAATAACTAAAAAATATTAAATTTACAATTACAACTAGTAAGTAAAAAATCTTTTAAACATTTAAAATAAAAAAAAGAGAGAGAAAATATAAATCAACAGATCTATCAGAAGGCAACATGAAAGTAAAAGTTAGAAATCCTAATTTTGGTAAAAAAGTTTATTCAAACTCTAATTGAATTTAAAAAATTTTTACAATTCAAATGAGGTTTTTAAAGTTTTTTTTATCCTAATCTCAGTGATTCATTTTAACTTACGTTACAAAGTAATCCAAACATGCTAGTGTATGAAATTCCAAAATCACACCACACTCGTTGCACTTTCCCGCGTTTAGAAAATCGGTGTTCAAGTTTGTTGACTTAGAAGCCCAATTTTCTTCTGCGGAGGCAAACCATATATTTCTTTCTCTTTCTTGGGCCAGGCCTGTAAATATGAGTTTGAGTGGGACGATAAAGATTGGGCACCCCAAGTTCCTGAAAAGCCATTTTCCGTACGTCCAGCTTCACATGGCTTTGCCAGCAAGATGGGGTCGGAGCTAGTCCCTCAAAGCAATCAAGATTTGAACTTCTATTTGGAGATTTAATGTCTAGCAATACTTTAAACGTGATTATTTTTAATATAAAAATACCTGTGAGTTTTAAAAAAAAAAAACTTCACATGACTCTCTCTTTTACATTTCTCACCGAACTTAATTTGAATTAGTCAAAGCCGTTGATTTTAACACATGATTGTTTATTACCAAAGGAAAAGAAAAGGAATGAAAGCACATTGTTATGTATACATGTGTTTGCAGGGGGTGCATTTGGATTTTAGGCCAATCTGAAAAGCGTGATTTTGTTTAAACATTTAATATATGTTTGGTTTTTAGTTTACATCTAATAGGAATTCATTTGAAAGATCCAATTATTTATTTAATTTGGCAAAAACATATCTAAAATGTGATTTTAATGTATTTTTGAGGGTTGCCCTAACATTCATTTAAATGTCAGGAATTCTTAGATTTTTTTTTTTGTTGGCAAAGGAATTCTTAGATTTTGTTACCCTACTTGTTTTTGCTTTCTTTCCATCTTATTGCGCTTATAATTTCTCTCTCAAAAGAAAAATAATCGATTTTGTCTATATGCATATCATGATCGCATTAAAAATAAAATACTGAATTAGTTTTATATGCGTGAGTGTGCATAAAAACTTGGGAGAGTGACCATTAAATTCTAAGGGATAATTTTATCCTGTAAAGTCCCAACAAATTAAATTTTAAAATATAAGATACTCCCTTAGATAATATGATACACTGGAAAAGGCTCAAATGCCTTCAATAACTATAATACTCTCCTCGTTTCAAATTTTAACACACTTTTAAGTAAAATGGCACATATCATAAAAATACATTAAATTAGTTTTATAATTTTATTTTTTTAAAATAAAAATATAAACTTTTAAAAATAACCTTCATTATTGGTAAGAAAAATGTTAAAGAGAGAAAATATATAAAAGCAATAATATTAAAAAAGTATCATTATTGAAACTTAATTTTTATCAAAGTGTCTTATAGTTTTAAATATCAAATCTCTTTCAAAAATGTTTTGTAATTTGAAGTAGAGGGAGTTTAAAATTTTAAATAATACAAAAATTTGCAACTCTTCCTATCAGATTCACAACTTGATTTATTAATTTAATTTATTTACAAACACAACATATGTTAACATTGAATTTTAAAATTATTTGCAACTTTAACGAGAATAGATTAGAGCAAATTTCCAAGGTCCCAAATTCCCTGGGCTCATTTTCCTCACCATTATTCACTTCACTTCTCCCGTCAACATCCTCCAGACTCTGCTTGGTGTGTCCTCCTCCCTTCGATATCTATGGCCCCCTCCGACCTCCTCTGGCCCTTACATTCACTGTCATGTGTGACTGATAATGACATTAGTTAAATAACTGATCTTATCCTCCTCAATTCTTTTCAAGATTATACAGATTCGATATCTGTGTCGGTAAAATTTTACATAAAAATCAATGTAAATTTTACAAAATTTGGAAAATGAACACATCATACAGTCAGAAGAATATCACCTGATATAGCATCATATATTCCATACGCGTATCTGTACAATATGGATGCTTAAAACGTACTTTTAACACGCAAATATATGAGAGAAAAATCAGGAAAGAATAAAAGAATATTAATAATTATAAAAGAAAGAAAAAAGATCAGTTGATTCGTTTGGTTAGGGTTAGAGAAGTCTCCGACAATTATAATCCAACAGAGATGACGACTTATCGTATATTGAAAGATACCTAACATTGACGTATCATTAACCAGAAGTCTCTCCCGTCTTTGTTTGTCTCCGCGAATCATTCTATCAAGTGCCTCCACTCTAATTACTATCTATTTATTCGATTTCTGACAAGTGACTACTCTCTCACGCGCAAATTAAACCGGGTCAGGATACATAAAATTGATTTACCTGTATAATATTAATTAATTGACTATAGAAAATATATATATAGATGTGATTTATTTGCGATGTATCAGTATTTTCGGATTACTGTTCTGAGCTTTAATTAATCAAATGAGATGAGCATTTTGAATATATTGATAGAGTCTAGTTTTGTTTCTCTTTTTCTTAAGATCGCCGATAAAATCACACATATTATATTGATACGCACTCTGTTAAAAGTTTCCTTGTGTGCTTCAATCAAATTAATAGCCTCAACATATTCCCATCGTTGATAATCACTTTAAGAATTGAAAACTAAATTTTAACTTTATATCTCTGTATGACTGCTGCATGGATAGTAACTTTTTAATCATATTCTTATTCATTATAATGGAGATTTATAAAAAGAATAAAAACACTCTTTGAAATCAATTTTACAGACGTCATATTTTCGCATATGTACCTATCTGATATTTTTGTTTTTGTTTTTTTTTTGGGGTTTTCCAGGTGTAATTGGTTTATTTGAACTACGCTCAATTAGTTAATTAAATATTTTCTTTTTTAAGATGATATGTTATCAGTTTCTACGTTTAATCCGTGCATACCGAGAAAGCATGCCCACTTCGAGAAGGGAGATTTAAATTCTTCTTTAATTACTGATCGGACGGGGTGCTTAATTAGTTTGACCTAATTAACAATATTAGTGAAATTCATATGTTCAAATCCCATTTGAATTAAATTATTAATCATTAAATTATACACCTAAACTTTCACTGTCTCGGTTAATTTGATGATTAATAATAAAACTTAATTAAGTAACTAATTCTTAATTTAGAACACCAATAATTTCATCTAATTTATCCATGTATATATATAGTGTTTGCATGTGTTGTAATAACAATTAGGGAGAATGGCATCTAAGGCGTCGTATTAATAATAATAAAAAATTGCACTCAATACATTCTAAATTGATTCCACTAGTACAAAAGCCTTATCAACAAGTCTAATTTTTAGTGAAAAACACTCACTTGCCTCTCGTTTGAAATATACAAGTTTTTCATATGCATGTATAATAGAATATTTATGTATAACATGACAATGTTCATACATTGATAATACAATATCAGTTCATTATACTTGGTTTGTGTGATTCAGTTGAGTAATAATTAATGTATAAATTTTTTAGGTATATAAACAACAAAATGTTCATGTATAATATAACAAAGTTTATACATTAACAACTACTATATTTAGTTGAATAATAATGTACAAGTTTTTCATATGTATAAATAATAAAATGTCTATATATAACATGACAGAATCTATACATTAACAATATAATATTCTTTCATTATACAAAACAGGTGTGGTTTAGTCGAACAATAATATATAAATTTCTAACATATATGAACAATAAAATGTCTGTATATAATATGACAAAGTCTATACATTGATAACACAGTTCGTTCATTATACATAGCTTATATGATTTACTCGAACAATAATGTATAAATCTCCAAAATGTATGAATAATAGAATGTCCTTATATAATATGATAAAGCCTATGCATTAATAATACAATGTTCTGTGCATGGTATTGTTTTTTCATATGAGGAACAAATGAGTCTTTTCACTGAAAAAATATATTTAGATATAATGTTTTTTCATATCGAGGCGCTAATTTCTTTGATCCATAGTGCCATTCCCCCCAACAATTATTCCTAAAAAGGGTGTACGTTATTCTTGGATTAAAGGTCGTTTTGGAGGCGCTTACGTAGAGTTTAACTTGCATGGAGACATTTTAAGTTTAATAAATTAATATCAAATAAAAAGTAAAAAAAAAAAAAAAGACAAACTAAAGAAGGGGAAAGTGTTAAGCCCACCAAACCAAAGGGCGAGAGAAATCTCCCCTGGAAGTCTTTCTTAGGAAATACACGAATGACGCACAGGAAAGTGTCTAATCAGTAATCACCTCGGCAGGCAAGCGCGACACAGCAAAGAGATCGCCGAATACGGAAAAATGGACAAAATTAAGCTGATTAAATTTCAAATTAACATGCTATTTTCGCAGTCTTTTCAACGTCATGATTAGTACGTACCAGTAATGTAATATATCCTTGCTACGCTTTGTTGACTTATCATTCAATTAACCAAAAAGAAGCTTTTAGAATAACTTGATTAGGACAGCTTGATTTCGTTTATTTTAGTATTCATCCCAATCCCCATCATCTGAACCAGTTTTTGATTTGAAACCAGATTCTGCGAGGGACAACCTCGAGAGAAATAAAAAAAGTTCAGATCGTTGGAAAGAAGTGAAGTGGTCGAAGGAAGGAAAAATAAAACCTAGTGACCCATTTTGCTCCCCTAACTGTCCACAAAAAATCAGGCCCTGATCAGATAACATCAACAAGCTGGTCCCCAGTTAATTACACATTATCATTCTACTTAGCTTATACATATCATGCACATTTCAAGAACTATATATCTTTCAGTGTAAAAGTAACAGGTCATCATTATACTAATTGACATGCCATTAGAAAAATGATTAGAAGCTAATGATTTAGAGTTGGATGGAATCTTACAGCATGACTGTCACAAGCAAAGATGTGAAAGGCACAAATTCAAAGGATTGTCTCGGATCCCTATGCAAAACATTGTAATAACAAGAGAATGCATAGAAGAGGGTCTCTCTCTCTCTCTCTCTCTCTCTGAATTCCCTAATCCCTAAAACATTCCAAGCATTAATATCTCGCCCCCCTCGTCCGCTACAGAGAGCTGCCAGTATGGTAAGAGAGATGGGTCACTCCCACCCACTCATTCCCTCAATCATAACGCATCACTCATCACCATCCACCTCTTGCTTTCCCCACTCTCTGCCTCTCTGTCTCTCACCCACACGCGCACAAATTACACAGTTCCACATTATTCAGATATGCAATCCACACAAGTTTTCAACTTTCCCATAATCCATCTTTTCTTCATCAATCTCAAGCCACTAGGCCCAACCCCACTTCACATCACTCTTCACTAGTCCCATCCCATCCTCTTCCTTCAGATTTTTGTACTCATCTCTCTCCCTCTCTTTCCTATCTCTTCTCTCTCTCTCTGGGAACTTCTTCTCAATTTATTTTTTCTCAACTGTTGATGCTTTTTTGTTTTTCTTTTTGATCTCCTGTTCGGCTTTTCTTCTTTCAGTCGAGGAATTCTCACCCGTGATCTACTTATAAATCTAGTTCTACTGAATAGAAGCTCACAGAGATTATTCAGTCCCAAATAAAAAAGAGAGAAAAAGACTTGAGAGAGAAAAAATGTCAATGGAAATGATGGCAGCCGAACGTGTTTGTTATGTTCACTGCAACTTCTGCAACACCATTCTAGCGGTACAGCCCTCTTATCAATTATATTTTGTTCTCTCTCTACCACTTTTTTTTTTTGGGGGGGTTTTGATTCAATTCCGTGTTCTTAATTCTGAGCTTTTCATGATGCCGTTTCGTCCTTCAGCAGCTATGATACGGCATATCTTGCATTCAGCTAAGATATATAAAGGAACGAGCTGTTCTGGGTAGCCATGAAAGACTAAAATTCTGTTCAGTAGAACAATTATGAATGTACATGAGAGAATGAAAATTGACCTATTTATTGAAATGCATAACTGTCGCCCCGATTCGTAGAAAAGCCAAGCCTGTGTTCTTCTGGGTAACTTTCCCTAAGAGTTGGAATCCATTAATTAAAAGTGGTTTTCTTTAATTTACTACTAGCTATGTAATTCAGACCAAGACCTCTGATTCCTCTCTTATATCATGAGAAAGTGCAATTGGATTTTTTCCACAAATCTCAACTTCATACGTTGTAAGTTAACAAAATCCAAAATCGAAACCTAAAGTCACCTTTCGATCTTTCACTAAAAGAAGTTACAAGTGTCGCAAATTTTATGGACAATACAAAGGATTGTTCTGTCAGCCCTTATGGCTAGGTAGGGCTGCTAAAGGGGATTAGGGTTCTTCCGATATTGTAAAAGCTTTCCCCTCCCACTTTTCTTCTTCGCAGCAGAATGATTGAATATATATATATATACACACAGACACACAATCTCAGACATATAACGTGTAGTATAAAGAAAGTTTAGTGCGTTTCAAGTTTTTTTAACATCTTTGTTTTTTTCTGTCCTTGGTGGTTACGAAGAATCCCTATAGGGAGTCCATGTGATAGCTAGCAATATGATTTTCTCTCTCCTCAGTCCATATGCCTTCCCTTTCAGTGATGAGAAGGAAGGTTGGTATTTCTGTTTGTCATGGGTTGGCAAGTAAATCATCTTTTTTATGATCCAATACCCACCTGCTTCCTTTAGGTACTCAAGGTCTTGTTTCTCTTTATTTCTACACAGAATCTCAGGGGTTAACCTGGCCATTTTAAAAATCTTGCCTCCCCCGCTCTCTCTCTCTATCATAACATCTCTGTGAAATTACTCCTTTTGAGAAAGCACTCTCTGGGATCCCTTCTTTATCTCCCTCTCTCCATAGCACAAAAGAGCAGTGAAATATTTAACCTACTTTATCAATGATGATGCTTCCGTCTTGTTTTCTTTTTTCCTGGGTTCTCTATATATGAATCTTAATTTGAATATAGGTGTGCGGGCTAATGGCATTCAGTTCTTGGCCTTTAATTATGGTTTCCGTTCCTGTCAAGTCCTTTTCACCTCTACTGTTTCTTTCTTTTATCATCTTGCCTTGCAGTGTCAGGTAATTAAAAAGTCATAGACGCATTGTGAGAGTGCTAACTTTTTAAAATTTCAGGGTTAGATAAGCTTTAGCCCTCTTAGTTATTACTCATGTCAGGTCCTGATCTTACTGCTGGCGGAGATGTATTGAGTTGCTCACTCTCTTGGCCCATAAAAGCAGCATGACCTCTCAGAATCATGAAAAAGAAAGCTTCTTTATCATCATCTACAACTTCTTTCGTCGGTTTCTCTTCTGGGCTCCTTTACCAAACTTTGCTTCTTGTTTTTTCTTCTGTTTTCATCTTATCATTTTAATTACTGGTTCTTGCAATCACCTTTCTTGGAAATGTGGAAGCTTCCCTGCTCCTACATTTTCAAATTAACAGCCTGAAGCTCTGATCTGTGGCTAGTAATTATTCAAAAATTGTATCAGGGGAATTTGAAGAAAGGTTTGTTAGAAATCCAAAAATTTGAGGCTACACGTGATTTTATAGAGTTTTGAGCGTTTATGTTTGTTATTGTGTGTAGATAGTAATTCTTAGGCACAATTTACATTGTCAGATAATAATGTAAGAAGCCAACGAATGAAAAATACACTTATCAATAAAATGGATAAAGAACATGATGGGATGAGACAAATCCACTTTAGTTGCTATATATTTGTTCCTTCGCACCGCTTAACTGTGTTAGACTTGCATACATATCTGATACTCTCATGTTTGTGTCTTAGAGAGAGAGAGAGAGAGAGAATCTTTTTTGTTTTCAAGTAGAACTGCAAGTGATGCATGATTTTGTTTCGTATTCCAAAATGGGCACTGGCAGGTTAGTGTTCCATGCAGCGGTTTACCGACCATAGTGACGGTTAGATGCGGACATTGTGCCAATTTGCTATCAGTTAACGTGGGTGCTTCACTTCAAGCGTTTCCTCCTCATCAGAGTCACCCTCAGGTTTTTCAGACCCTTTTGGCTCTCTTTTTATGGTTTAATGGGTAGCTGGATGTCAATTCTTCTTTTGCTGTTTCTGTACTAGTGATTTGCATTCCTTTTTGTTGAAAAGCAGGAGGAACATCTCCATAAATTAATTTGTGCTTGTGTGAGTGAATGTGTGTGTTTTCATTAACTTTTCTATTCTCTTGCTATAAGCCACAGAAGCAGCATCTGACTTTTGAAGAACCAAGCAACAAAGATCTGGGATCATCTTCAAAATGCAGCAAATTAGGTCCATTTGAGTCTGTAGAGAATGAGCAACCTAGGATTCCTCCCATTCGGCGTGAGTATTACTCTCTTTTGGTCTTTTTTTTTTTTTTTGGGTGAAGTAGGCTGTGGCTACCATGTCATTTATAGACCACAGTTCCAGCCGAATGAGTTAACGGCAACAAATTACCATGCAATAATTGTTTATTATATTGGAGCCCCTTGAGTCTTGTTTAACAAGCTTGTGATTATTTGTGGTCCATGACTGACGTAGTAGGCACTGCCCACCCTCTATTTCCTTTGAATTTTGTTTTTGGTGTCCACGCACAATGAGGCTGTTCCTTTTGCGTCAAATGGTGTATAACTAACTATACACCCCGAAGCTTCAAGGGCAAAGACACTAATTAAGACACGCTTCACAAACTGGCATGTGTTAATAATAAGCAAATGCAGAACAGCAGGTTGAGCCCACTTGTCATAAATCTAGTTTTCACAAGAGTGGAGAATCAATGTCTGAGTATCCAGTTTCTGTTTTGGTACAAAGGGTATCCAAATCTGTGTATGGCCCCCTCTTAGATGGCGATCTTACATAAAAAACAAGTTGACGCATCTGTAATTGATTACTGTGCCCTAGAACATATCTCATATATATGTAAAATCAATTTATACAGTTACAGATTCAACTTACCATAAAAGCTTGCTGAGGTAAACTGATAATGATATATAATTGTACAATATTTATATCATGAGTTTCTCTCAGTGGGGGCAAAACGTGACCTTTAAAAAATGATCTCGACAAAGATATTTGAGAAAAATATATAGCAGCAAAGATAAAGAGAAGCGACTAATAGGAGATCACATAAAGAACCTTCAGGTAAACAGATGAGAGGTAAATGATCATGCCATTGCCAGTGCAGTGATCAATTTATGGGGCCCGCATTTGTCAAGAACAGTAACTCAAAATGAGTCATGTTTGATGTAACGAAAAAAGTATCTATTCTGAGTTAATTGATGTGCACCATATACATGTGTGTGGGTGTGTGTGTAGACACACTGTTTAATCGGTATTTTGTGCTTCCTTATATTCTAAACTTCATGGTCTAGTTATGATCAATATTGCAGCTCCTGAGAAGAGACAACGTGTTCCTTCTGCTTATAATCGGTTCATTAAGTAAGTAATTTATTTTTGAATTTTTTTATTTAAATTCATATATTTCTATATCTTAATCTTGTATCTGATTCCATTCATAAAAAAGAAAAAAGAAAAAGAAAAAGGAACAACTTGTAATTTTCTTTCTGTGGTTTTGCAGGGAGGAAATCCAAAGGATTAAGGCTAGCAATCCTGACATCAGCCACAGGGAGGCTTTTAGCACAGCAGCAAAAAATGTAAGTTTATTATTTATATTAGTTAATTTCGTTCATTTTTTAAACCTATATCATCTTCATGAAGAGAACATTCTCATGTATGAATGTAAAGGACTTAGTACTAATTAAATTAAAGTTATCTTAAAACTCTGAACAAAATATGTAGTAATAAAAGTAATTAACACCTCCGGGAACCTTGTATTTGTTATAATATAAAGTTGCAGATACTAAAAATTAAAAGGTTTATTTTGTCGGTATAAGTTTATCAAGCACAAACGTACTGCAATTTTTCATCTAATATATTTTTTATTCATTAAATACAAATTACACTCAACAAAATTTGAACATAGAATTAAGGGAGTGCCTGGCGCTCAACCATGTTATAGAGCGTCCAGCTTGAGAAAGGACCCATATCTCTTTTAATTCATCTGTTGAGATTAATGTATTAGTTGACTGATTGAGTACTTAGACAAAGTTCTTCAATTTTAATATTGCTATCATTTTTTCTTTTAATAGACACATGAAATGCGATGCCATGCAAGTAAGTTTTTAACTTCGTCACAATTACGGAGACAGGTAGTTTAAATATATTGTGTGTGAATGTTTGCCCCCCCGGGGGGTTTGTATTTCCTTGGTTCTAGCTAAAGATATTAAATCATACTATCACAAGAGGTGAGCCTCAGACATTCGTATATTTACGCAATTCCTTTTTAGTATATATTTAAAAAGTAATATTTCTCATGTATAGTATATTATATTGGGCACTGAAGGAATTTCTTAATTTTTCTGTAGCATCAGACGTATCATGCAGTGTACATATTGCAGTGTTATGTGTAGTTATCATGAAACCTTACATGTCACAGACATATTTTAACGAGTCATTATTGCATAGTTTCTTTAGGATGTATTATTTTATATCCCCAGTATGTATATAAATACACACACACACACACACAAACGCACGCTCTAATTGTTTTTGCATAAGGGCTTCAATAAGTTGCACGTAAGTTTACATAGGTAAATTTAATGTTAGCCCTAGTTGAGTTTTCTCCATCTGCAAATGCACCACATCAACAGTTCTCTCATTGCTGCATATGTCGGGTTTGTGCCCTCATTATTCTTGATGTTTGAGAATAATTACATTTTACACATTCAACCATCTTCTTTAGGATCTTCCAGTTTAGTTACGTCCCATCATATGTTTTGCTTAGTAAAGGGAGACACAGGGAGGACTAGTATATGTATAGTTTCTGTACTGTATAACGTGCTCTTCACCATGATAAATTTGGCGCACCCATTATACAATTAAACCTACACATTTCAAGATTCACTAACACTATGATTATTTCTTGAACGTAAGGCGAAATATACATTTTTTTTTTATCTTGGTGCTGTATGAATAATTAGACATTATAACAAAATCCTATGTTTCTTATTATATATATTGATTTCTGGGTTTTAATAACCCATATTATATATGTCGTTTCTGGGTGCAGTGGGCACATTTCCCTCACATTCACTTTGGATTGAAGCTGGATGGAAACAAGCAAGCCAAGCTGGACCTTGGGGAGGGAACTCAAAAGTCTAATGGGTTCTACTGAGATATAAATAGAAGGCTGTGAGTCTCTGCTAGTTTTCTCTATGCTTGACCTAAATCTGTGTAAAAGGAAAAAGTGAGGTTGATCAAATTTCTCATTCATCATACACAATTGGATATGGAGGAGAGAGACTATTCTGAAAACCTCAGCCTCACATGTTAACTGTAATAATTATAACAGATTTAGATAATCATGTATTGCCCTTTTCTAGTGGTTGTTATTGTGAAATGAATATGATTGTTGTTTCTGTGTGATTGCATTTATTATTATAAACGTTGAAGCAGATAAGTAAACAATACGTTGCTTCTAATGATGTGCCATTTCGGTCATAAATTAAGAATCTTTCAAAGCATTCTTATCTCTTTGCGCTAATTAATTATCATGCCGAAGGCAGCCTGTTTTGAATTTTCTTGCGGGTTCTTTTTATTCTTCCGTAATAATTGCAAATAAGGGATGGGTAACTTATCAGTCTCGTTCTCCATATATAGGCAGGACCACATGAAATTGCTTTTCATTGCTGGTATAGTCATCATTTGAGTCTTTTACGGTGCTTCAACCTGCTGAGAGGAATAGTGTTTTTAACCCATCCATATATTGCACGAGAGATATTTCTATTTTACTATCTTTGCTTTTCTTCCTTGGAGTCTTGTGCTCTGGGTTCATTCGAACAATATGTGATTCTACAATCCCAGGATAATTGAAGAAAGAAAGACGAGAGAGAAAATGAATTGTTAGAAGAGGTCTCTATTACTCTTTTTTTTTTTTTCCTCTTTGGTAATTCTTTAATTATATAATTTCTCTTTTTCTTCCTGGACCGCTTTGTTCAGTTAATGCAGTACAGCCATCCATTAAAGGAACAACATGTAATGCAGGTTTTGCATGCATGTCTTGGCCTGACACAGTTACAGTTTCTTTTATTCTTCCAAGAAAAATCATAAGAGGTCTTGCAGGGAAGAGATAAGAGTCGAGAAGACCCTAATTTTCCTAATCAAGTCAGGTTAAAGTCAAGAACTATGTCACAGTTTCACAAAAGCAAAGCAGCTACGCAGCAAGGCAAAGAAACAAAGAAAGACGAAAAAAGTGCAACGAAACATATACACCGCAGTATTTGCTTTAACTACTCTTGCGGTATCTCGTGTTATTTTCCTGTTACCTGCATCATGTCATCAGTCAAAGATATATCATTTCTGTCGCATAGAAAGATTCCAAATAAGAAGAAGAAGAAGAAGAAGTGATACTTTTGGCCAATAAATATTTCTCTCCACTTAAACCCGAAAGATCATGGTCATGGACATGCTTAGCTAGAGCTATTTGTGCATATTAATTCACCTTCTGCGTACCATTAAAATAAACTAACTCTTGCATTCTAACCGGCCATTGACTATATATACATGATATATAGTAAGTGTTAGAAATTGGGAACGGCCACCCAGAAATAAGGGAAGAGAATAAATAGGCTAAAATTAGCATAGAGACACCACATTTTATCTCAACCCCTCAAAGCTTAAGTTAAAATTTTAGTGACATTTTATCAAAGTTAAACTAAGATATACTCTATATCTGAACAATTAATGGAATACTTCCACTTGGAAAAGTCATGTATTGACTAATGTTATTCCTATATTCCATTGGGCGGCACACTTTATAATGTCTATGCTTTGTTTGATCCATATATGCGATTAATTTTAGTCTGTCATATATTATAGTTATTCAGTGCTATCGGAACAACGTAACATAAGATCATATTTTGAAGACTCGCACATAATGCAATTAATGAAACTATTGCAGAAATTGCTTGCTCAAGTTTGCCTTCAATTCGTTTGTGAAAACAAGTCAGAAGAGGAGACAATTAACGAACATGAATTTGGTACATTAATCCCATAGTGATAGAAGGGTATTTTTGTAGCCAACAGTACAGCTAATTCGTATTTAGTTTGATAAGCTACTATATACGCACAGCTTAAATCATATCTCACGTTTCGAGAAATGACTCAAGAAATAGTTTTTTATTTAAAATTTAATAGTGTAAATTATATGTGTTTTATCTTCATGTATGGTTAGTCTAGATAATGTGAGTTTTTTGTTTCCAGGAAAATGTAGTGCGTTCAAAATAGTGAAATACTGTTACAACATGTTGCTACAGCAATGGTGACACGACGTGTAATGGTTGCCACGGCGGTTCTGCCAATTATGGTCAAAACGTAATGATCTGCCTTTAATTCAGACAAACATACCCAAAAAATAATATAATATATAACCGCGTTTATTTTATTGGAAAATACATATTTATTTCAGAATAACTTACAAGCTATATATGTCTAACTAACAATTATACATATATTTATATATTTAATACAGCAGTATCCATGATGAGCACCCACCTTAGCAACTTGAAGATTGCTATAGTGGGTTAAGATATACTCTTATAATTTTATTTATAATTTATTTTTAACATGTTTTATTAAAATTAATTTTTTTTTAAATATACTAACTTTATTTTATAATTGAATAACATATTTTTTTAATATTTAATGAAGAGTAAAATAAAAAATTTATATTAAAAATTTGATGAGATGATTTATAAATAGAAAATTATTTTTTCTTTTTGCCATATAAATAAGATCAGAGAGAGTATTATTTATATAGTTATATATGATACTAAAATTTTAATGTGTGGCATTATTTATTAACTATAAATAATGGGACTTACTTTTTTAAACTCCATGCAGTAAAACGCAAGCAGACTGGTTATATATATATATATATATAAAGCTTTCATTGACAATGTGCATTGCTTTGATGGTGAATTTATTTATTTTATAAAATATATATATATATATATATTGCACACTGTAAAATTTAAGATAAATCGTACATATAGTTGACGATGTTTGAATGGGACAACGTATTATAGACACAATATGTACGTGTGTATGATTTAATTTTTTGATGGTGAGATAGCGTCCAGTCACACAGAATAGAAAATTTGAAATAAAAAATTGTGAAAATAGTTTGGAAGAGGGAGGGAGGGAGGGTTTGGCCGATGGGATGAGGCTAAAACTCTAAAAGGGCCGAATCTGAAACGTCAAATCAAAGAGTGTTGTAAGGTAATTGGATCCATGTGTGGCACTGCGCCCCAAGTGAGTCTTGTCCCAACCTTTATAATATAAAACATGAGCGTGAGTTGGCTTTGTCTTTTCTTCCGTTCCAGAAAACAATAATAAATGGATGTTTCTGAAGCCTTTGGCACTGTCATGTCACTTGGCTCCTCTTCCCATGCAGCTCCACGAAGCAATTTAATTCTTTATCCCTCCGTCGTTCAACGAATAATTTATTAATTGAATCTGATCTTTATTAAAATAATTAATTATTTTTTAAATAATTTTATCTTTTTATATTTATTTTCATTTATTAAGATACTTTATTTTAAAATAAATATAAAGTAATATATTCAATAAAAATATTTTAAAAAATATAATAATTATATTTTAAAAGATTTATATTTTTAGACATTTAATTTTTTAAAAAATATTTATATTTTTAAATGAAAGAAATATTTTTATATTGACTTGAACTAGAACTATAATTCAACATTTTTTTATATTATTTAAAGTGTCCTCCTTTTTTGCTCAAGAAAAAGTGTCCTCCCTTGACTCCCAACTTAGCTTTTCTTTTTTTTTTAAAAAAAAAGAATTATTGACTTTTGCATGAAATAAATATCAAAATTACAAAAAAAAAAGTTGGGAAAAAGGAAAATTACCAAAGAGCATCAGAAAAAACACATTAAAAGAAGCAGCCTGTTGAATTATATGTATGGTTCTGAAGTTGCGTTTCGTGTAGAAAATTGACTGAATTACTGAGTTGCTAACGATAATTAAATTGTAAGGAAAAACAATATATAAGAATCTTCTCCTGTCAAACAGACACAAATTTGAGAATAATAAGAACTGACAAACAGTCATGCAAACAGGGAAAGTTCCCTCTTTGATCCTTCAAGCGTTAGTTCGGTGGGGCGTATAACACAATGGTTCCGTTGGTGTGTGAAAATAGTTATTCATTTGCTTCTCTCTGAAAATCATTTTTATTAATCCCATCATTATTAATAAAAAATAAAAAAATAAAAATTTATAAAATTTTAAATATATTTTCATATTATAAATAAAAAAATAATTTCATATGGAAGATAATTTTAAAAATATTGTTTAAATATTACATCATAATTTATAAATAAAATTAAATAGATTTTTTAAAATGGGCTTTATAAATAAAAAAAGAGGGAGCATACTTTATATGAATTTTTTTTTTCACACCAGCATGCTTTATTTGATGATCGCTAACACATTAAACGACAATTTCATCCAACGTTCAAGTCTTTTTCTTCTTTCCACAAAATTGCGAACGATCACCCAAAAAAAAAAAACAATGATTAGAGATTTCAGATTTGAATACACACAGTCACACGCTCCGTTCGATTTCTGTTTAAAAAAACAAAATCATTTACGTGGGTGTTTTGAATAATTGAATTTAAATAGAAAAATAATAATAATTTTTTTAAATTATATAAATAATAAATTGATCCTTTAAAATATCATAATATCAATAAAGTCTCTAGTTTTAACAATTTTGTTTAGAGAAAAGATTATTTTATCTTTATTGACGAAGTTTGATTTATTGTTCAATACTTGTGATTATTTAAAGAAAAGTGTTGATTTTCTAAATAAAAATTGTAAATGAAGTTTGTTATTTTTAGAACTTATTTTTCAATAATAAAAATTATACTTGATAAATTATAATTTTTTATTTAATTATTGTAATTCACAGACCAAAAGTTATTGTTTCTTAAATAAAAGTTATAATTGAGATTTATTTTTTAATAACAAAAATTATATTTGATAAGTTGTGATTTTTTATTCATCTTTTATAATTTACAAAACAAAAGTTGTAATTCCTTAAGCAAAAATTATGAAGGGCTGAAATGGTCTTTTTTTTTTTAAGTTATTGACAAAGAGGTCTCTAAAAATTTCATTAATATTATGACATTTTAAAAGATCAAATTATTATTTACATAATTCAAAAGAATTTTATTATCATTTTTTCATTTAAATATGTTCTCAATTTTTTATGATTAAGAAAATGAAAATATTTTAGAGTTCTTCCTGTTTTTTCCTTTTGTTTTAAAAGCATGCTCTCTTTGAACTATAATATAAGTTATTATTAACTAATTTATATTTTTAAAAAAAGTTAGTTGATATCTTAATTTTATAAAAATATTCATGTATTTTTGTTTATACTGTTGAATGAAATATTTAAACTATCCTCATTAATTAAATTAATTTCTATTACAGTAAGGATATAAATGTAAAAAAACCATAAAATTTAACTAATGCCCTATATTTTTAATTAAAGAGTACTTCTAGATAAAAAATTACTTATATTAGAATTCAAAATGAATACTACACTTATCTATTAAAGTCTACTATTTCTAACACTTGTTATCATTATCCATCATTGCACACTATCAATAGTATTTACCACTAGCTATACCACTATCAATCATTGCCTATCCCCACAAGGCATTGTTATGAGTCTATTGATTGTCACCCATCATTATTCACTTTCAACATTCACTACCACTAGCCAACCACTTTTGATTGTCATCAACTAACCACCATAAGCCACTATCAATTACTCCCTTTGTTATGTATAAACTGTATCACACAATTTAAGAAAGTTAGTTAACTATAATAATTATGTTTAAAAATTTAAAAAATGGGACTAAAATATCATATGTTAATTAATATAAGCTTGTATTAATTATTTTTTTGTTAATGTAAATTATAAGGAGCGATTTAAAAAATATGTAATAAATACTTATTAAAATATGTGATTTTGTTTATATAAAAAAAATAAAAAATGATAATTTATCTTACAAATAGAAACAGAGTAGTGATTGATGGTAGGATTAAAAAAAAAATTTACATAAATTTTTTAATTATAAAGTTGTTTTTAAATTAATATAATCAAACATTTTTTTTTGGTTGTAAAAAATAATTTTAAAAATTGATTTATAAATTGTTAGTAAAAAAATAATTTTTTAAAACGAAAATGGGGAAAAAAATCAAAACAAGCACGTATTTTTTGATGCTATCCTAATCATAACATCATTGGGTTTGACGATAACTAACTTGCAATTAGTTTCATAATACGTTGATTTCCAAATATACAAAGAACCTGTAGCATACCAAGAGCTCAGAGCTGCGTCAGAATTATCGAACATAAGATACAATTCTTTTCAAAATCATTGTGAAATCCATAAAGCGAAATAAATGCCTCAGGGTACGATTAGTTAATACACCTACATTTTTTTTTTTAAATATCAATATACTACTTGGAACTGAAATAGACACAAAGATCTGGTGTCGAGAATAGTAAGAATAACCGGGTTATCTCTATTTCCAACGTTACGGCAAGTGGAATATGAACTATATCATTTTCTTGACATGATTCCGTTTTTCTGGTAGCAGTCTTGTGGAACGTTGATCCAACTAGTCTTTGTGTGAAATGATGGAGACATAAATGAATGTCTACGACCTTATAGAAACCGGGTAGCGAATGGAGCTCCGATAGGCTATGGGTGGGTATACAAGTAAGAAGCAGAAAATAGTGAGAGAGGCTCAAAAGAGAGTGGTCCTGGGAGTTGATTAAGACTGGGCCTGGGTACCATAGTACTGCAATAATCAAAGAGAGGGGTCAGCCTCCACTTAACACGAATATGGAAAAAAAGGTGAGGACGACCGGTGGTCCATTCTGCTGAGTGCCAACAAAAAGCCAGATATTATACAGTACCCCATAGATCCACCGCTGCCGCATGAATGGCAAGGTGTGCGATTCTCTGTTACCTCTCCCTCCCTCCCTCTCCCTCTCTCTTTATATTCTAACAAAAACCAAGAATTGCCAAGAAATATTCTCTCAGCAGAAACATTGAATTCAAGCTTCGAATTCACCCACTTCTCTGTCTATCAATTTCATGGCTTTGCCTCTCATCTTTCTGCCATGGCAGACTTTTCTCGAACCATAACCAGCGCTATTATGGTGGGACCCTGTCACTTCGGCTAATTATTCATCCCCAAGTGACAAACAAAGAATATCTTGTGCACATCAGACTCTCCCTCTTTGAAAACTAATTCAAAATGCATTTTCTTCCTTGAATGAAGTATTCAATTATGGGGAAACAAGAGAGCCTGTGAAATTAACGGCCCCAGTGGTACAGAAAGTACTTTTCACGAGTTTTTCTCCCTAATATTTCCTCTGACACTTTTAAATATGAATTTTTCTACCCATTGCGTGTTGCTGGAGACCGTAAAGTGAACATTGAAGACCAAAAGAAAGGATTTTCTCGTCGTGTATGAAAAGAATATCGTGTTTGAGAGTTTCCACTGTAAATGGTTAACGTTCAATATATAGGCAGAACATCATACAAACAATGAGCTCTCGAAAGAGTAATACAACGATTGCGCAGGAGGTTAGCCAAGTCCCATGGTAATGACAACCGGGTAATTTTGATGAACACAAATAACAAACTACAATAGATTGACATTCCATGACAGAATTCAAAATCTTGGTTCCCAGGCTTCTGAGAGAAACAAAATATGCTATTCAAGAAAAACTAAATCGTAGAAGTTAGTACAACTCTCTTCCAGCCCGTGGGCAAGCTGCACGCTCACTACTCAGTTGTGACTATGTAACTATGTTACACTCTTCCCCGGAAACCCAGTACGTTTACACTATCCCCTTCAATCGTTCCCAGCCGTAAATTCAACTAATCTAAAAAAATATGCCAGACAAAAGAATGCTAACTTGTCAGGTATACTTGTAAGCCTACGGTGGCAATAATGTTAATCAATAGTATCTTGCTTCAATAGGCTTTTCAAATCATTCGCTACTTTACCATATTATGTTATGCGTCTAAAACTCTTCTGTAGAAAAGAACATAAGCAGCTGGAGACTTTATCTTCTCTTGGCTGATGGGGTAAACATGGCTATCATCAAAGTCATACCATCGATCACCACCATGCTGTGTGAAAAGCAAGATCAGGAAAAGTATGAACATTACTGTTGTATACAGCTTAATATGTAACAATCTACATCAAAGAAATTCCTTCCACAGTTTGAAAGTGATAATCGTAATGCCAACCAAATAAAGTGAAATTCAGATAGCATATAATAAGCCACTATGTCAAAAAAGTCAATCCATCATCTACCATTAGAAATATGGCCAACAATTTAAAAGTGTTTACATCAAACATATTTAGGATAACTCTCAGAGATATTTCTAGAGTTCTTGAGCATTTTAATTATATTTTGCAGGCTTCACGTTGATCAATTGGTAAAACATATTACTAGCTTAGAAAACACAGCACTCGAAAAAGAAGAACAAGAACTTACATGAACAAATGCTGTATAATGACCACCTCCCATGCTTCCATAATGGTTACTGATTGCATAAAGCATGTAACGGTTAGAAGTCTTGTCATGCCCATGAGCAATATAAGCTGACAAATCAAGATCGTCGATGGGAAAGTCAACATATGTATCCAGCTTGTTCTTCATAAAGCGACTATATTGAAATCTTTTAAGATGGATAACCAAAATCTCAGGAAGTCTCCAAAGATCTAACTTCTTACTAGCTTGGCGATGCACTTTACAGCCAGGGCAGAACCTAATAATACAGAAGACCAAACCTTGATACAGTTAGACTGGTTCACAATAGGTATAATGCTCTAGATGGAATAGCTTTTGAAAATCATTTAAATTGGAAGACATGTAGGTTATCTTAAAATTGGGTTTGAGTGCAGGTGGCGTTCATATACAGAAGAAACAACAGGTGACCAAAAGTGGTTGTATCAAACACTACACAGATTTAAGCCTGGCAAATGCAGTTTCATTACATATTGTAGCATTGAAATAAAATAAACTTTTAGTAACTAGAAGTTCAGGGAAAAAAGATTAATATATGATTTGTTTAATTGTAGATAAAAGTCCACACCAGTCCAAATCATTAAGTGGCTGCAGCCTATCAGTTTTCAATAGAGTACTAAAAAGTAATCATAACGTCATGGAACAGAAGTGATGTAAAATTTGGGATTTGATACATGTATTCAATCATCACTTGAGAAAAGCTAGTTTTTGTTCTTCTTAAAAAAAGAGCTAATTTTTGCCTCTTCCAGACATAACAGAGTAACAACATGCAGCTCAAGGTTTAAAGTTCACCAACCACATATCTTCTGGTCCAAGTGGTTCCTCTTGCAAGAATGCTTCAAGGCATTTGTATAAAGAAACTGACTCTTGAGGCCTCTTCACCAAAAAGCCAGGCTTGAAAACCTCAGGCAATGAATTAAAACGCGGTGTGTCATATTGTTTAATCTGATTATCTGACCAACATACAATCACATCCAACTGCCTTAACTCCTCTTTCATTGGGAATGGCTCGTCCATTAAAATCTTGGAGCCTTTAACAACCCCTTTTTCACGAGTAAGGTAAAACTCCAGTCCTCCATTATCATGAGAATCTGAATCATTTTCATTTGGACCTAAACTAGGAGTTATGACCCCCTCTATTCCAGCAGCCTCTTCAGTTTTCTTAGAGATGTCAGAGCCTCCTAAGGCATCATCAGTTGATAATAGAAATGGATTGAGCATCCTTAGATACAAATTGGAGAGATCAGATCCAGTCGTAATATTGCAAAACCTAGCAACAAGAGGAATTCCAAATGCCTTCCAATTTGAAGCCAATTTCCCATGGATATACTGCCTGACAAAATTGGTAAACAGTGAATTTATACTAAGCCAAGGAAATGACAAGTGAAACATAAGCCGTAAAGCATGTTTAAAGGCTCGTAAGAACTTTGGTGGAGACTAGCGAACACCAGACATCATGACTGCACTTGGCACTATAGTCAAATGCACATTTTAAAGTAAAATAGAAGGAATCAGAATGGCAAGCTCTTTGCAATTTTGTTAATACAAGTTAACAAGAGAAAATGCTATGTCATCTGTTTCATCCATTGTCCTTGCCTCCTTGGCTTGAGTTGGAGGAGGAGGTCAAAGGATTAGTCATGAAATATAAAAAAAATAACATTTTGAAGAAACCTTCTATAGAAGGAAACCTATCTTAATTTTATATTTTATCACTTTCTATTTCTACTTTATTTAACAAGTGGACTGTTTTATCATTTCATGTATTAAATGGGCTGCAAGTGGATGTTTCCTTAGAGGTAAGGAAACCTAAAGTTTATATAGACGTTGCTTTTGTAACTTGGGGGCAGGTTTGAATGAATGAATTTATGAGTTATGTGAATGCTCTCCCTCTTAAAACTCTGCGTCTCTCTCCCTCTGTTCCCCCACCCTATCAGTTCTGTGTTCTCTCTCAGCTCCTCCTCCCTCCCTGTCCTGTTCTTCCTCCCCTCATCTCTCAACCTCTGTTTCTGTCTCCTCTCCCATTTCCTTTCTGTTTGAGCCAGCGTGAGTGTGAGTGTTTGTGTGTTACATCAATTAGGCATTACCAACGGAAAATAAAATCTCATATAATGTTGGCAATGCTCAAAAATAAAATCACAAATTCAATTGATTATTAGATGGCAAAGTTTGAAGTACTTCAGCCTACAAATGACTGTATATTCTTTAATTCTTCTTAAAAGCCTATCGCTTGAGCCATCAAATTTGCTACCAATTTAGGACCACAATATCTCATGAAAACTTGAGGAAATTAGACAACACTTTCATATTTGAGAAGACCAAAAAAAAAAAAAAATAGAAAGCTGAAAGCCTGACACCATTCAAAATTGTATAAAATCATCATTTCAATAAACAAGTTTCTATGAATTGATACAGTAATTGACAAGGTATAGAGATGGAACAGTGATTAAACAACCAGAGCATAGACGTCAGAGCCTTAAAATGATAAATAAACATTATAAACGAATCCTTGCTGAAATAACAAGAATTTTACTGACATGCTCATTTATTCACATTAACCATCAATGTGGAATGAAATGACAAATTAGAAATTCTGATTTAATGCACTAACTAAGACTATATAACAATAAACTCTGTTATTATAGATGATCATGGGAAGATACAAACCCCACCCTCTGAGAAATTCAATGAAATGACAAGTGCTCCTATAAACTAATATTTGTATTGGGTGTGATTGGTTGGCTTTTGCAAGAAACTTAATTGCATTGAAATAATGATTGTTAGGATCAGGCACCTTAATGGCAAAGTTTGTGGATAAGTTGACATAATAAAAAGCATTCAGGTTGACAACTATCTCAGCAATGTGTCTTAATCAAATAATTCAACTGGTTCTGTGATCCAAATCAATGGCTCATCATTTTTTCTGGGATGCTGCATTTATAGATGTTTCCAATTGTTTCTTTTGGAAGGCTAGCTGGTATGGTTTTTCATAAGATTGGTGGGCTATTCCAATTATTTTAAACTTCAACGATTAAGGAGGTTTGATACAGACTAACTCGAAATAATTTCCCAACAGTCAAATTGTATCAAACAAGAAGAGCAACTTAAAGATCACCAACATTAATAGAAAAAATTGACTCACTCTTCCAACCGCTGATTTACAAAGACAACCAAAGTTTTGTCCCTGACATTTTTCATAAATCGGTAAGCAACAAGTCGGTCATCATCTCTGATTAATGATAATGAATCAGCTGGTTCTTCAAGAAAACGTATGATGCGGTTGTTGTATATCTGTAACAAAACCCTAGTTTCAGATGCATAGTATTTGCACAGCATTGGTGTATACTCTATATCCATAAATGAAACTCAATAAAGAAGGAAAAAGAATACAAAGCTGAAATGATATACCTCAGCTACTAATATGGTCTCATCAGGCCCCAGAGAACAAGCAATGCTTAAAGCCCTGATCAGATCTTCAAATCTCCCATTTTTGGGGACAGAAACAGTATATGACGATAATTGAGTAATTCCTTCGGTGCTCATGACAGTTAAAGTCATAGTGCGCATTGTTGTTGAGGGTAGAGGTAATGATAAGTACATGAATGGATCAAATGTCACAGAGACCTTTCTACATGCAGGACAAACTAATGTTGATTTATATTGGCCCTGAATAAATTGATGCATGTGATCAGGTAAAAAAGTAAACAAAGCAGCCATCAGGAAGAATGGAGCAAATAGACTAGTTCTCCTGAACATAAAAGACAACAAATTTCAACCTGTTTTATTATAATAATAATAATAATCAGATGCCAAATTCCGATTTGGGTTGGTTGGAGGGAGAGAGATGACTGGGGGAGGGAGGGGAATTATAATGCAATATCTACCTCTGTTATTCTTACTCAAGATAACATTTCTTTTTTATTATTTATTCTAAAGGAGGGGCATAAGTGTCATTTTTTCAACATTTTATTCACCTTTTTCATTCCATTACATCTTCACACCACCTTGGACCAAATGTAACTCTATTTTCTGATCCCTTCCAATTAAGAAAACCAAGGGAAAGCAAAGCATAAAGTGCTGCGGTGGAAGAAAAACACTATTTGGTTGATTCAACAAATCTAATAGGTTTTCCTATTGTTAACTAACTCCTTTTACAGTTACCAAGAATTTTGATCTCTTTAAGCAAGTTAAAAATGACATTTAAATCAAATCATTGAAATGAGTTACACTTACAAATATGGTAGCGAATAACCATCCTATAATGTATCATGGGAAATGAAAAATTTAACATGACAGGAACAAAGACCTTAATTATTCATAGCCAATTGCTCGCACCACTGAGTTAAATTATTTTAAGTAATTTCCTACGTTAGACTTACAACATTTCTTGGCAAATCCTTGATGCGATAAAAAGTAATAATAATAATGCCATTGAGTAAAATGAGATGGAAACATACTTGGCACACATCAACAATGATAGAATCATTGCGCGCCAAATGATTGTGCCAATATTCATCAGCTATCTGTTCATCAGGTCGGTTGTCTCCATCCTTGGCTTCCACATAAGGCTTACATTTAACACGATTCAGATCTTCATGAAGCCCATCCAATAAAAAAGCCAAAAGCTCCTGTAAATCATAAGCAATGGAAGGTTACATGAGACATAAAATCGAAGTTAAAGCTCTAAGAAAGAACAAGATGCACTAACCTGGGAATCATGTTGATTAAAGCCACTAAACTGAGGTGCAAATCGAGCAAGCTTTGATTTGAACATTCTTGGTGCCACTGGACTTGCTCCAGGAGCCCATAACTTCCTTATTAAATCTCCAAAAGCCAAAGCTATCTCACCCTGGCAAAGACAAAATATACTAAAAAATGAATAAAAAAGGGTAAACATGAGAGACACATGCTCAAAAATATCAATCTGAAATACTTGGAAGGCACAAGACATACATCCATTCCCAGTGGGTTATCATGATTTATTTCTCTACCATAATCTCCAAGAAAATAGTCAACAATCTTTGGTGTGTGCGCCAAGCACTGGAGTGCACTATTCATGAAGCAAGTATTTCCTAGGTTTTGCAACCCAGTTAACCCCAAGGAACCTGCTTCACTGTGGCTAGAAGAGAAAGTCCAAGAATTGGCATGAGTGTGATTAGAAATCATGCTGCTGGCACTTCCATTCATCTTCGGCAAAGTACCACCAGAAAAACTTGTCATATCATCTTTTCTTCCTTCCCTTCGTTTCATTGAATCTGACAACCCATAAACTTGCAACTCCAACAAAATCTGTATATCATTTAGAGCCACGCATCAATAAGGAACAAAAGGTGTCTGATCATAGCCGATGATTCAAAGTCAAGCCATTTTCATAATTCAAAGACATTGTATTTTCCCTAGCCAAGACACAAAAGAGTAGTGATAACAGCAAAGATATGATAGAAATTAACATCTGAAGCATGCAAAACACACAAGTATTCAACTTCAAGAAATTATTGTTTTCTTCCATTCACATTCAGCATAAGTTGATAAATCATAAAACTACAGTTACTGATCAATGGATTTTCATCTACAAATCTAATTGACAAAGAAGCAGCAAACCAAAAATTTAAAACTACATTTACTAACAAAAAACAAGTGAGAAGATTTCCCCCCTGCTTTTTACAGGGACAGCCTCATGATAATACCTAGCTTATTAACAGAACTCATGGTAAATAGTTTCCTAAACAGATATCTGACCACATATGAATCAACCCAATGGGTCTGAACTGAAGATGTCCTTCACATCAGCAAACGAGGTTGACAGAGCTGTCCCTCATCAAAGCAATAAACACAAATGTCACACATAAGGTTCCTCCAAAACTCCCAATTGTATGTAACGAACTAGAAAATGAATCCTAGAAGAGAATCAAATGGAGGAAAACCCTACAAATGCATCAGAACTTGTGGCATTAAACCTTCATGGCCTTCTTCTCCAGAAATTTCAAATCAGCAGTCTCCAACAGTCAAAATATTTAAAACCATTAATTGTTTATTTAATAGCTTGCTAAATTACCAAAGGGGTGTTGCACAAAGTAGCATTCCCACCTGACATTGTGAATAACTTAAGGAAATTCTGAAATATGATGATAAAAAAAAACATTAACAGAGAATATTTCTCTTAAAAAACACTCCACTACTTACCTCCTGATCAGACTGTCTTTGACAGTCCTTTGGGACCTTAGTATTGTCATTCAAAAGAAACAAGGTTGTCTGACCAGAAAAGTCCCAAATGTGTAACTGCAATTACAGGTTAAAATGTTATCCCTCTCTTGCAGTAATAGATGCACTGTCATGCAAGATTTTCTTCAATAAGTGAAATTGTAGACAGAATATTTCATTACCATCTCTGAATCCATACAGAATATCTTACAGGATCTTTTGAAGAGCTCAATTGCATTGTCCTAGAAAGAAGGGAAAAAAAATGGAAAAATGTCTCAGAAGTCAGAACTCAAAGCATCCATGATTCACCAATAATAAGTCAATATAAAAATAATCAATCAAACTACCCAAAAATGATAGCATATTTCAGTTGTGTTCATTGTTTCCTCAAAACTGAAAGCCAGAAACCCGTCCAAACACCCTGATGCACTAAATAAGATGGCATGATCAAGTTTAGACAAAAAATGTTCCGGTGGAGATATCATAATTTCAAATCACATTTTAATGGATCATAAAAGCAAAGTTTATGCCATAGGTTCATCACATGTATCAATCTCCCAACTATACTGACAGAGTTAGACCAGATAAAGGAGATTGATCAATCCAAATGCATTTCCACTAACTACAGCACCTCTTAGATAAGAACAATGGCAGAGAGGGAGGGAAGGAGACTTACCTTTTTGCTTATTCTTACTCCCAACGAGTTAGTTTCCCTTTGAACAGAAAGCCTGAGCTGTAATGGATAGACATCTGCCATATCATCTTCCGTAGCTGAAAAGGCTTTACCATCCTTCGTTATATTTTTTGACTCACTATGCCTAATGAAATTTCAAAGCATGTGGTAGGGAATGTGTTAACGAACTTAATATTTCAAATACTAGAAAACTTTTATCAGTTTCATCAAGGGACATGAACCACTTCTGATCTCAAATCAACAAAAAATAATAATTTTTAATAGAAGAACATAAAAGAAACCAGCACTAACCCATTTATTTATACAACTATACCACTCACTACTTGAAATTCTATTACGTAAGGAATATAGACACTTCAAGACATATAACAAATTATTGGAGTCAGAAACATGTATCATTTTATTTCAACTTACAAATCCTTAACGATTACATAATGCAAGCACCAACTTTTAACATCTCTCACCTGATTCATTTGACTGGCTCATTGAATAATTGAAAAACTATATTGTACAAAAAATTATGATCCTGTCAATAAATACAAACGTTTCCCTCTCATGTTCAGAAGTAACATAGAAGCATATCATGTCATAGCAAAGAAGGAACTTATCGAAACAGCTATAAAAAGGAAATGAAATTTACGTGAAATTGACAGCTAAAAACCTCAAACAGATCAACATACATGCCATTTTTGAGATGAGTCAAATACTACCACGCATGTGTATGACCTCAAATCAGATGGCAAGCAACTTAAGATCCCAATTTGATCTTAAATTTAATGGAATCATAATCAACAATGATTTTGCCAAGGAATTCAGTGAGAGTGATACAAAGGACATTCGTCCATTATGCACGGAATGAGAGAGGATTGTTAAGATGGCATAAACACAAAGCAGCAACATAAACCATAGCTTTAAAAACCGATAAGGACTTCACAAAGCAGATACAGTGTTAAACAACTATCTAAACTGCCAGAAGTTAATGGGACTCAAACTAAAGGCTCAGTCAAATACTTGCACCAGTTGACTTTGTACCTAAAACCTCACACAGCTTTAGTATAACCATCTCTCTACGCACATGTGCAATCTTCAAAACACAGAGAGAGAGAGATATATATGGGGGGGGGGGAGTAAGTTTAAATCACTCACCACTTCAGTGCCAGCAACCACATATCCCCAGGCACCAAAGCAAAGTCCCGCCCAGACACCCCCGCTTCACCATCTTCACGAATCTGGGCTGAATCATCCTCTCTCCTAAGATTGAATACAAGATCCGAGTTGAAAATGTTATTGATTATCTTCATAGGACCGGCATAGGATGAACATGGAAAAGCCGTATACGAGATCCCCCTCTTCCCACCCGAATCTCCAGGAATTGAATCCTGCGCGTCCTTCCACCACCTGAAACACGCAAGTCATCGGTAACCCCTAAACCCACTCTACTGATACATTCAATAAACATCTGCCAATGCAGACAAACCCAGATCGTATAAAAGTAAAAGGAAAACCGAAAACAGATACAATGGCTAATTGTGAATAGTTGAAAAGATGCAAAACTGATACATAGAGGCAAGCAATTAAGCCGCAGCTTGATTTCTCTTGCTTGTTTTCGTTTGGCAGTTAATCATCCAATTTGAATAGCCATTCTCAAACTTGCTTTCACTTAATCGGGGTTTATGGGCAAGTTATTGAAAAGCAAACGAACCCGAATGACGACACTATAATAAGAAAGTTAAAATTTAGTTCAGATTCGAAGAAGTTGGTGAGGAAAGTACAGAATTGAGAAGGAGTGAATTAAGCAAATAGACCTGTAAGGAACGAAGTAGACTCGTTGGTCGTTGTTTTCAGGGCGTTGATTGTTATCGGAGAAATCTTCGGAGGTAGTGTCCATTGCACAGAGAGAGAGAGAGAGAGGGATTTAGGAATTGCTTGGAAAAATGCAGATCATTTCAAGACAAAAGGAGAGAGCAAGCAGACAATGGCGGATTTGCAGAGAAACAAGTGGAGTTTTTCTGTGAAGAGGATATGCACGGAGGGAAAAATATACCGATAAGTAGAACTTCATTATTTACGTATGGAAAAATTGAAATTTACGTATTTTTCTTTCTTCCTTTTTTTTGGTTGGAGTCTTAGTCTTACTTCTGCTTCTCATTCTAATATTAATATGTTCGGAGTAAAAATTTCAAAAATATATATTTAAATTATATAGTGCAATCTATATTTTTCTGGGACTACTGGACATAAAGTATATTTTTAACTCTCTAATTTTATATATAAAATTTTAATTTAATTATTTAATTTTAAAAAAATATCATTTTAATTCTTTAATTTAACATCAACATTGTTAAATTTCAATGATTATTTTTTATACTAATTATTATTGTTTTAAAAAAAATTAAACTAAATATATTAACATGTGAAAAAGTTTTGTTAAAATTTAAAAGTTTAATGTATAAATTTTTTACAATAAAACTAACTACTTTAAAGTTAAAAAATTAAAAAAAAATACTTATAAAATTAAAGAATTAAAATAAAATATTACATAAAATTAAAAGATTAAATATATATTTTAACTCAATTATTATTTATTAGCTTTTGTTTCATTGGCTACGAGTTTTTAAATTCGAGGAGTCTATACATTTGTTTAGGTTTTATCTAGTTTTGTTAAAATTATGTTTATATGTTGTGCTAGAAAAAATTGTTCATATTAGCAAATCTTACATGAATTTCATTATTTGTAACGTGTTTATATTTTTATTCACATTTTTAATTCAACTAATGCTTAAATAATTCTATGCTTGCTAGTTAAAAAAAAAATTAGAGAGAAAATATAATCATTAATTCCTATAATTTTATTAAATTTTATTTTTTATTTTTGTAATTTTTTTTAATGTTTTCAATCTCTATTGTCTCATTGAACAACATTCATTACTTAGGTCCCTGTAATTTTAATGTAAAAACATTGAAAAAAAATTCAAAAATTAAAAATAGAATCCAATCAGATTATAAAGATCAATGATTTCTTTTTTCCAAAAAATAATTCTATGCTTAAAAGAAACTATAGTCATTGTGGATGAAAATGATTGTCATTGTTAATAGTACGGAACACATATTATCTTATAAAAAGCATTCAACGTATTTAAATTTTGTGCCTATTCACGTATTTAAAAACTTACCTACTTATTCTAATATTCTTTGACACAGATGAATGTAAAGTAAAAAACACATACATCATCTGTTTCAAGGAATAACTCCGCAGGATACGCTTATTCTTCCAAATGTGACTTGTAGAATGCCAGAGTTCTTTTCTTTCTTACAAACTTCATGTAATGTTGTCCGAGCATAGGGACTCTTGAACTGCTCCTTGCTTGTTTTCTTTTGTCAAGCTTTGTTAGCACCTTAATTCCCCACTTAAAAAAAAAAAAAAAAAAACTCTGCGTTACATTCTAATCTCCTGGACTAGACAAAAACCAAAGAATAATTGCTTTCAAAATCAAAAAAACTGTGTTCTTATCAAAAAATAAAACAAAAACAAAAAAAAATGTGTCTTTCTGATGGAGGAAAATGCATAATTTGATTTCCAAATTTACTTCAAAAAATCCCCCAAGGATTAATAAGCTTTCACAACTTGATTTATATAGAGCTAACCAGAAATCCTAATCTGGAAAATAAACATGTAAGTTACAGTTTCATAGACACATTGAGCATCACAGATACATCAATATAAGCAGCTTAATTTGAACCTACAGCAATTCAACTGTAGTGGCGAGATCCAGTGTCATAAACACGGCCACCAGGATACGATCCTCTGGGCTCGAATTCTTGAACTCTTGCACCTCCTCCAAGAAATCGATTACGCTCCCCATATCGATCAAAGGGATCAGCTGTATAGCCTCGTTGCATTTGCATTTCTCCAATGGCTGTGGAAGCAATGGCAGAGCTGTAACCACGAGGATCACCAGGAGGCATGCCACCGCTGGGGTGAGGATCTCTTATGGTTTGCTGGTACTGGTGTTGTCTTGCTTTGGATTCTCTTTGAAGAAACTCATTTCTTCTGCTAGCATGCTGAGCTCGAAGTGCCGCCAATTTTTCTTCATACTGAGCATTGATAGCATTTAGTTTCTGAAATCGCACAATTCAAGGACATTATTATAAAAGCATGGCCAAAAAACATTAAACATATTGTGATCAACATGCTCTCAAAAACATGAAAAGAAACAACATCCCCCACCTTCACCGTGCCCTCAAAAAGAATTCAAATAAGAAAAAATTTAAGTATGGCTTTGGTTCGTGAATCTACAAACGCAACAAGTTACCCATTGTTTACAGTACACAGGTGAAATTTTCAAGAAGTACAGGCCAGGAAGGCAGCAGGAAGCTACAAGCAGCCAGGAACTCAATAGCATTGAATTGGTGCTAAAAGATAAACCTAACTCAAGATTCAAGAAGCATCCTAAGATATGGATCAGAGTCATGGAACTAATAATATCAAGATCACTCAATACAGAAAATTTAACTTTGTGCTTTAAAAGATGCAAAATGAAGCATACAGGTTTCCATTTATGTGAATTTGCATAACGCCATAATCACTTGAAAAATGTTAAATATCAAGGAAACAGACTGTCATCCTCTATACCGAACTAACTACCTTGAGTTTAAGATGTTCACTGAGTACATAATATTTATCTTTTCTTACTTTTTTCTTTTAAGAGGGAGAAAAGAGACTGGAGTTATGTTAATATGCCAGTACCTTGGTTGGAAGATGTACATATTATATACAACTGACAAATGCTTCCCTTTAAAGGACACCAAATAAAACTTGTGAAAACCTGAGCTCCCATGCCAATTCCCCCCCTGCTAATTGCTAACCGATACCTCTCACCAATGGACCGAAGTCGCCAAACCTAGTGGCTTGCTAAGTCCTTCCCTTATAAACTAGCACACTCTTCACACGTTTAATGCAAAGTGAAAACCCTGTCAACCGTTTCTGTCGCCCATTTAATGTTGACTTTCTTCTTTCTCATTATAAAGGAAATATCATAATTCCATACAAAAGGACATAATAAGTGACCTTAATCACCACTTTTCACTGTGTCTGGAAGCCCGATCAGGCAGTCAATTGGATTGATACCACCTTATTTGATCTAAAAATGAAAAAAAATACTAATAAGACTGCAAAAATCACAAGCGGCTCTCATTTCCAGCAGAGGTCTTGACCTCTGAAGCATCACATATCAAAGGCAATAAGAGATGAAAGACCAGAAGGCAATTAAAGGCAGAGAAGATTTCAGTCATTTCAAAGACAAAATAAATTAACGTTGTTAACATATACTGGAGAAAAAGATGAAGACAAACAGTCCTAACTAACCTCTCGGTGCCTGGCATTTTCTACATCTTCAGCATCACTCTGTTCTTTGGATAGTTTTAGAATGTCATCCAGAAACTTCTGCTCAAGACCTTCATAAGTATGTGATAAATTATTTGCCTCATATATAACATCTGTGTCTTCTTTATGGACCACAGATCTGGGGTTTTTGCTCTGATTCTGCAGAGCCATCTTATGATCAAGCCTCTGATCCTGAAAAAATGATCTTGAAGCATCACCCCCTTGACCTGACAGGCAACAGTTTCCTTAAGTAACGATTTCAAAAATGATGTCCCTGATCGATACGGACATTGGTATCTTGGAATTTCACACATGGAATCTAATGTTATGAAAATTCAAAAGTGAGACAGTTTCTGCAAACATGGCAATGGTTGCTGAACAATATTATCATAGTTTAATCAATGGACAAACAAGAAGATTTTCATTTTTCCTAGGTATATCACGAATTGGTTCTAATGATGTTAATTGATGTAAGTAATTCCTATAATTAGTTATGAGGAAAAAGATGGATAAGGACAAGCAGACGATGTAAAACTGAAAAATGCAGCATTTAGACAGTTTTTTTTTTTTAATTAGAGGATTTAGACAGGTTTTGAAGCTATCAGTAAAGACACAAGGTACAAAAAGGTATATGTTTCATTCAAAGAATACAATTACTAACGTTGTATGATCTTCCATCACCTTTTCAACATAAAATTAATATTCTCCCACACAACTACACGGTAACAAGAAAAAGGTTCAATTGGTCAACCCTGCACCTGCATGTCTGTGTGTATTCTAATACACATAAAAATGAACCTATGTTTTTGAAAAGATAAAATCAGATGAATCAAGCTCCTAATGCCATAAAATTTATGAATGATAAGCCATACATAGTTTTCTCCTCATAAGTTTGTAATCATGAAAGGCACCCTTAGCATCCCACATGCTATTAAAACCTTGAAGAGAGAAGTGCTAGAAAAGCACTCACCTTAAACAACCAGGGTGCTAAAATAGCACAAAGTTAAAAAAGACACTGCACATAGAAAATTCATGGATATGAAATATTTTGACAACATTTGGAACATAAATGACCTATAAAGAATGATAATTATATAGAACAGTGAACTATTGGCGTCATCAAGTCATAATCTACCTGTTACTTACTAGCAATCTTTTTTAAGTGAATTGTCACTTCGCCCTAATACTTTTGAGCTAGCAGGCAGGTGAGTCTTATTGTTTTCCTACATATAAAATACTTATCTTGTTTTAAAATACTTAACTTGATCATTATAAGTTACTGGGTGGCCGTTTAGGACTGTATATTTATATAAAGATAAACCTAACACAGGCAAGACAGGTGGTGACAGAAACCTGATGTAGGCCCCTCACCCCAACCAGCATGAGGAATTGGCACTTCTTGGCAGAACTGAGATCAAAGTTGTTGACCAAACTTATACATCCTGATTTAGTGAATGCCCCCATTATGAACATTGCTTATAAATCAATGCACAGACTGCCATGATTATCATAACCAAATCATAGGATATATTAACCTTGGCAAGCATAAAGATAAGTAACATGCTCAATGCATCTGGAATCAATAATTTCACTCATTAAATTTTCAAATTATAAAAACTTGTAATTAGGATATCTAGCTTTGACTTCACTTGCGCCTAAAGAAAACTTCACAAGCATGCATGCAGGGACAACAAATAGCATATTTTCTACATTAACATACAAGAAGCCACTGAATTCAACGCATTTGATCCATCCACTTCCCATCTTCGCTGCACCTCTGGCTTGGAATTTGCATATTGATTCTCTCTCTCAGGAGTGAAGGCCTCGAGCTGTTCTTCAAAATTATTAGGCTTGGTTTCCATCCTCTGATCGGCCATGTGATGCATCTGAGCAGCAACATAAGCATTGGACGATGGATCACCATACTGGCCCTGCTGTCTCATTTGTACCAAATAATGAAGACTATTCCTATATGGACCTGTCAGACACAAGAACCACAGGAGCCCAAGATTAATTATTAAACCACATCAGACATGACCCAGATTGCCAGTATATGTATGTATGTTTTGTTATCACAAGAACTACCTCCAAGTAAAGAAATACGCATACTCCACTGACAAAATGCTCTAGAAATTTCTTTTTTTCTATAAAAAAAAAATCTCGCAAACTTGTGAAAGTGAAAACTTAATAAAAGACATCTTATAATGGGATTTTATAAAGTGGATCCTTGGAGAAATTGAACTGATATCTTTCAAACTGAGCATCACATATTACAACCTCCAAACTAGAGAAAAGACCAACGCATGAAAATCAACTTCAGCTTAAGTCCACCATCTACATGAGATTTTTTTTTTTTTTTGTTTGGTAAAACTTATCAATTAATTAAAAACGAAGAGTACAAATATTACTACCAAAGAAATAACAGTAGCTAAAAGTATAAACATCATATTAAGCGTAATAATATTGGGATGGCTAAATGAACAAAGAAGATATAACAAGCCAACTTAGATACCAGAGAGGAAAGAAGAGATATGACTTAGATATCAGATAGGAAAGAAAAGTCATGATAGTATCAATAAAAGCAGGCATAATGCTCCAAAAATAAAACTTAATCAATCTGCAATATTAAAAGAGTCGACAACTCCTCCTCCATTGCATGATAAATTTTGAGAGCAAGAAAACTGCACAGTTCCTAGCAAATACCATTGACACAGACACGCCAGTCGCCAAAGATACAAAATAGGCAGCTATCACATATTCCCAGTTCGTCAATTTCCGCCCGATACATACAAGAAAACCAAATTATAAGAACTAACCACAGAAGAGACAAGTAATGGGAGCTAAAACAGAGACAGATGTTCCAACGAAAGCTAATCAGAACCCTAAGTATCAGCAAAAGGCAATTTCAACATAGGCGCAGGCGCGCAGCGAAACTCGCCTAGAGAACTACCACTCTCTTCGAAAAAGAAAACAATGAATGGGCAGAAAAATAGGAGAAATAAAAAAAGAAACAAGCAGGAAAACAAGCATACTAACATACGTCTCTGTCTGTCTTCTCCGCCTTCTGTCGGAGCTGAGGCTAGGAAGGTGACGCTAAGACCGGTGAATAACAGATTGACAGTCAGAGGAGTGTTGTCAGCTTGGCAATAAATAGCGAGGCTCTTGAATCTGGATTTCATCCATTTTAATTAATAAGAAAAAGATCGGGCATATTGGTGCGTAAATAAACTTTTTGATCCAAAACATCATATCTTTGCGTAAGGATCTGGATCCATTTCGTTGAAAATATCAGCCTGTTTATTTTCTGTTTTTAAAAATTATTTTTTATTTGTAAAAATAAAAAATTTATTTAAATAAGTATTTTTAATTAGTTATTTTTAAAACTGTTTTCATTTTTTATTTTTAAAAATAAAAAATAGAAACAATTTTAAATTGTTGTTTTCGTTTTATTTTCTTATTTTAAAAATATATTACATTTAACTATTAAAAATTATAATTATTTCGATTAATTTTATTTTTAAATTTTAAACTTATTTTTTAATTAATATAATCAAATGAAATCTCAATTTATATTGGTTTAAAAAATAATTTGAAAAAAAATGATATTATAAAATAATTTTTTAAAATAATAAATGAGAATAGAAATCAAACAGTTCGAAATTTTAAAATAAAAATAAGAATTATAAAATCAAGCGGAACCAATAATCAATCCAATGACCATCATCCATGTCTTTTGTTCACCACCTAGGGGCCTAGGCGGGATCAAATTGGGCTGCGCCCGCAATATTTTTGAGAGAATAACATAGAAGGGCTTGAAAGGAAAAATGGTTACAATAAAAACTAATTTTGCTTAGGATACTATGAACCTTAACTTGCTGCCTTGAATGCCATTCTTCCCAATTTTTTTGAAGATTTTATGGAGATTTTCGAGGGGCAACCCAGTATTTCAAGAGAGATCGAGAATAATTTTTTTATACTCCTTTCATTTCAACTTATAAAACAATTTTAAAGGAATTTTGTCTTAAAGTATAAAATAATTCGAGTAAAATAAAGTTTCATTAATAATACTTTTCTAGTATTATCTTTAAAATGGATAAAAAATTGAAATGATATTATATCATAATGATTAAGTGTGTAAAAATATTTTTAAAAGCTTATAGTTTTATTTTATAAAAATTAATTTGTAAAGTATTATTGTTATATTTTATTAATATACATAATCTTATAAAATTGTTTTATAATTTAAGATAGAGGAGTACCATCCTACAAAGCAGTGCTACTGTATAAACAGCAATATATCAAAACCATCCAGATGGTCCAGACCTTTTTTTAATATTTTAAAATCAAAAAAATGTCAAAAACAATTATAGTGAATTTGGACAGTTAGGTTCAAACAGCAAGCTGCAGCTTCCCCCCTCCTGACTCCTGATCCAGAAAAAGTTGAGGAACTGAGGAAGCCCCCACCTAAAGCCAGAAATATAAATAGAATTATATAAATTAGCTTGACTAATCAGTCATAAGAGTTAGATTGAGTTAGAAAAAAATTAATATAAATAAAAACAAATTTTTCTTGACCCAAATCAAATAATCCATGAATTATATGAACTAATCCTAATGAGTTAGAATTAACCCATTTAACTGATTTCTTTTTCAAAAAAATGAAAAAATAAAGGAAAAATGGAGAATGTGATAAGTTTGTGACTTATAATAAATTAATAGACATGATGTAACTAGCTTAATCGATATATTTTATATAAATTGAAAAATAATGAAGGAATATTATATTAGAGACATATTTTTTCATATTTATAAAAAAAATAAATTGAAAAATAAAATAGACTACCAAGTTAACCTGTTTACCAAGGATTGGGTTAAGTTTAAATTTTTCTAACCTATACGAAGATAGGTTAAACACACTCAAACTCATACATTATCTAATCCATGTAAGCCCACCCACATGGGCGGCTCACTGGCCCCAGACCCAATGTTCCTTGACGCTCTCTTTCGTCTTTTCACATCACAATTCTTTTTGAATATAATGATTTACTCCGTCAGTATCGAGGAAACTTCCGAGTAAAGGCAAGCTTACATTTACAGCCCGGAAACAAAAACATAAACACGCTTGAATTTGAAATGAGAGATTCCTATTCTTTAAGATCACATGCTCTGAAGAGTTCCAAACTTCATCTCATTCCGACATCCCACAGCTCTAATCTTTAATAATAGCATCGAACCTTTAGTACTTTTACCTGGTTTCTGAATTCCCAAGGGTGACATTGCGCCACATCAGACGTTCTGGCTTGAGAAAACTATGCTCATGGTCTCATGGAGGAACATCAAGTTAACGCCAAACTAAGCTATGCTATGCATACACTACCTCATAGTTTGCAACGCAGATGTACTGACACAATCAAATTATTCGTTCCCACAATGATTTATACTGGTTCATGCGTTGTGACAGCTGGCATACATATAACACAACATCACAAAACACTCAGCAACAACAAATCGAAAGCTAAAGGAACATGGGACATCAGTGGTGCAAAGGACATTCAATCATCGGACAATGAAGACCCAAAACCAATTTTAAAGTTGAAGCTAATGCAAGATAACTGCTCGTCGTTCACATCCTCCATGGTCATCTTCAAAGTATAGGAACCCTGCAATATTGGCAGCATTAAAACGTAGACTTCGATATGAACCCAATACAAGACCATACAACAGAAATTAGACAAAGGGAAAATCATTCCTTACAGCAGAAGAAATGGCTACATCATTCATTTAACAATCAAAGATGAGGTAAAAAAGGCAATGGAAAAGAGTCCAAGTTGCTCATGAAGAAGATGTTGATGAAAAAGACAGAAATCATACAAAAGGCAAATCAATCCTTCAAGGAGCAGAAATGGCTAAAACATTCATTTAACTAAAAAAAAGTTCTGAATGGAGAAAGTTGCCACACTGGATGTTAATAGCATTCATCTAAAAGAAGCTCGACATGAATATGCAATAAGCAACACACACGAGACCTGATCCCAACATATGCTTCCACAGTCTCACAATGAATAGTCGTTTATGGAGAAGGCATTTCAGGTCTTCTATAACATGAACTCCCTAGAAAGTCAGGCTTAATGCATAAAAGGCTAAACTCAAGGCACATACCATACACTACAGGATCCCACTCATACGTAGGAATTTAAATTATTCTTCATTGTCAAATACAGAAGGAATTGAACTAATTGACAATTGGTAATGACTCTGCCTCCAGGGTAACTTCAAAATTTTGATCAATTTTAATTGCTGTTATCGATCAACTTAACACAAGGTGGTTTGAGCATGAGCATATGCTAAGATAGACAGACAATCGATAAGTGAGCATTGTCAAAAGTTTTCAAAAGGATATCAACTATATATTAAAATATGAGGTAGAGATAAAACTGAACCACAGAGTAAATTGCTAACGCTCATGCTAGAGCTGCAAGAATTTAAAGATAAATCCAGAGAAAGTGTGCACTTATAGCAATTTTGAGAACATGATATGATCAGTTATGGTATCATGCACAACCAAAGAGCCAGTAGCGTGCATGGAAGAGAGGGGGGAGCCAAGAAATTCAAGCATGAGCATCCTAATGAATCTAAAAAACATTAAACATCATCTCAAATCTCACGCTGTCAAGAAATGTAGGATGTTTGCTGCTATGATAATTAGGCATTTAGTATCAGTTGAACTTGTGTCACAAAAAAGTGAAACAATTAACTTGATAAAAGGGGTAAAAGAAAAATGTGAAGGATACTACTCAACTATCTATTGCATGCTTGCTGCCATTATAATGTGGTATGTAGCATCAGATGAACTTAGTGTCACAAGAAAATGAAACAACCAAAGGAACACAACTTGATAGAAAGAGGGAAAAAGAAAATTGTAAGAGATATCCTACTCGACTATCCTCTTCAAGAAAGGCATGCAAATTAAACACTACCAATTTGCTTGACAGAACAACACAGAGTCCAAGTCAGGCAAGCAAAATATCTTGTAGTTGCTTTAAAGGCAACAATCAAATTTCTTACACCAGTGATGTTTGACACTATAAGAGAAGAAATTAATTACTTTTCAATACCATAACATTTACATTGCAACAGTTTTAGCTGCTAAGATCCTAAAGGAGAGATAGTATACCAACTTCAGTTTTGCAAATGCCTTATTAAGCATATACAATAATGCCAGCATGCATGGAACGGAACTTCTAGGGGCCCTAAACAGATATCAACGAAACTTATGTTCAAGAGAAGATAATTGAGGGCAATTAATTTAGCCAATTAAAATTTGTCATCTAGCAAATGAGATAAAATGATGTTTTTAGAATGTATTTGACATTGCAAAGCGCATGTTGGTATAATGAAACTAACCGGTGGGGTAAATGAAGGCAGTGTTTGGGTGTGAGCAATCTCAAAGTTGCCTGCTGCAACAGGGCAGGACACTTCTTCACAGAGATCACGAGTTTCAGTATGGACATGCACCCCAAAGTATGAAACTTCAATTATTAGCTTCCCACCAGAAATAGCTTCACCTGCAAGAAAGATAGACAGAAACTCCACTTGTTAACTAAAGCTAACAAATGATGAGAAATTAAATTACACAAGCATCTCTCACACACACAATCCATCATAAAAAACAACTAGATCTGATTGTTAAAAGAATCCAGAATTTTGAAGTGTGTTTTGTTTATAAATCATCCTATTTCACTGCAAATAAAAATACAAACAAATTTTCACAAAAAAAAATACAAAATACAAAATAATTCGAACATGTTCCAACAATGTGTGGTTAATTTCATCTTGATCAAAATTTAATAAAGCCCATCCTCTAGTAAGGAAATAAAAAAATATATCACACCCCAAAAAGTGAGAAGACAGAGCATGATAAAAATTGGGAAAACACCAATATGAAACGGAGCTCAAGAGAAATTGAAATAAGGGATGAAAGAGAGAGATCACCAGTAGAAGCTGATATCTTAAAGGTAGCTGGCTTCCCTCTCACCACAGGATCAGGCAATATATCGACTCCAGACACCTTCACAGCATAGTTTTGCTTCCTATCTGCATAGATTTTGTGTGGAAATATTAATATACAAACTATCTATCATGACCTGAGAGAAAAGTAAGTAATATGAAAATGACCGAAGTGTCTAGCTAGCTACATCGACAGCAAGAAGCTCAAAATCAACATGATACAATCACCAAAAATTTATCTTCCGAAAAGATTGAAATTTAACAAAAACCACCTAGACATTCAAAATGAGAGGCAAAAGGACAGCAATTCCATGCTGCTAGCAACAAAGGTAGCACAGTTTCTAGACCGCCTGAATCATTCACATTTGATTTGGATTTTCAAATCTCAAATTTTATTATTTTAAACTTTTATTTTTAATAATATTCTTTAAAAACATGCAATTAAGAAAATTATTTTACTTTGCATTACGTTTTATCTAAAGAAAATCCAAAAGTTAACCAAATAAAAAAAAAAAAAGGAAATCTCAAAGCAGATTTCAATAGAAAAATAAACTAAAATCTTTAGATCATGAATGAAAATATGGACAACAAAGAGAGTCTACTAGCGATGTCAAAAGACAAAAAGTAACCTGTAAGAGAGAAGAAAAAACTACCGAGTGTTGAGAAGAGTCAGTGAGTCACAATTATCATCAGTTTGGATCAAAGATTACATTTATAAGTAACACTAATCAGCAATCAGGACAAATTAAAACTGGACAGTAAAAGTAATTGAAGAAACTCACTTCAAATTCATACTTGAGCTGACTGAGCTTGATTAAAAAGACAAGTCAAGGGAATGGTGAACAGCAAACTCACCGCAGTATTTGACCCTACGAGCTTGAGCCTGAGAAGATGAAAGCAAGAGGATTGATAAGCACAGAAGCAGGTAGAGCTTAAGAGGAGACTGAAACTCCATTGATCGCTGAACAAAAGTGGGATGAGCAAAACCAGAAAGCTTCCTTCTTGATGTTTTCGATTCCTGAACGTCGTCGCGCTTCCAAACAATGCCAATAAGTGAAGCCCGGATATTTATTTAATACTTAGCTGAATTGTTATTTGGAGACTCCGTCTTTTTTAAAATTTCAGTTTCGCCCCCATCAATACTATTCCTAACGTTATTCCAAACCCCTAAATCCATGTGATCAAATGTGTAGTTTAATTCAATTTTGATGAAAGTATAAATCAAATCAAACAATCAGTTTGCACAAACAAAATAATATTTGAATAGTTTTTTATTAAAATTAGTTTGGTTTGATTTTTAAGTAATTTTGTTTGATTTGATTTACACTTCAATCAAGTTTTTAATATATTTTAATGTATAAAATTATATATTAAAGCTAAATATAATTTTTAAACTCCTTTTTTTTTCATATTTCAATTTCAACTTACATTCTGGACTTTAACATTTATAAATAAAAATGAATATCATATTTAAAGTAAAAACATTCAAATTTCATTATTAATAAACATCAAAGTAAATACATTTGTAAGTAACAAGAGTTAAATTTCATTGCAAATTATCTTAAAAAATTTTTATTGAAGACCCCTTGACCCAACTTAATTTTAGTAAAGGCCCCAAAAATTTTAAAATTTTATTGCACATATGTAGGATTGAAATGAAATTAAAGAGCTAACTAATCTTATTGTTCTTGGTGAAATGAAAAAATGATATATGGAAAAGAAACAACTAATATAGGTAAAATTTGCAAGTCTCATTAACACCATAACACATGAATATAAATAAGTAAAATTATACACATAAACAACTAGTATAAAGAAAATGAACAATTAATATAGATGAAATGAGATTTACAAATACATAATAATGCTATATCATTAATGAAAATTTTAAATTTCTTCTATATTAGTTGTTTATTTTTTATATATTAATTATTTATTTTCTCTACACGAATTGTTTATGTACCTAACTTCATCAGGGACAATAAATTTATTTTAGTTATCTCTTTATTTCACCAAGCACAAGGAAATTTCAAAATTTTAGGAACTTTAAAATTAAGTAGGGTCAAAGAATCCTTATTGAAATTATCCCAATTGTCTTGATGTTTATAATAAAAAATAACTTGTTTTAAATTAAAAAAAGGGAAAATTCTATATTTAAAATTACCTAAAAATTATTGTTGAAATAACTCCAGCATATGCATTTGACTCTCTAATAGTAGAATTGAGAAAAGAATTAATAGTAATTCTATTAAGTATTATTGGTTTAGGCTGAACTTTAGTTTAAGTTAAAATTTTGGGAAAATTATTGAAAAAGACTTCACCACAATTTTAATTGCTAATAAAAACTTGAAAAGTTTTTTGAAATGAGGTCTTTTGGTAGCATAAATTTAAGGCTTCAGGTGACCAAAATGCCTTAACCAAATTCTCTCTTCTGTCTCCTCTCTAGTACACACCGTGATCTCCAACAATGACTTCTACCTCCTCATTAACAAGCGATAACGAGGCATGATGTTCTTCTACAAGTCTTGAATTCTCACCTTCAAGGACCCCTCCTTACACAATGTATTCAACTTCAAAACTCATTTTCACTTCAATCACCCTAGTTTACCCCTTCATTCATTTGGGTTTGTCTTCAACCTCCTTACACTTTGTCTTCAAGGATTGATTGTCTGCCTCAATGTCAAATGCATCCTCTTGAGTTAATCCATTATTGATTTGTTTCTTAAAGAACTTCTTATTTCAATTTATCTTTCTCTAATTCCTTTGTTGCACGTCAGGAGGTAGATTGAAGTCTTTGAACTCTTTAGAATGAACTCTTTGCCCTAAGAATGATACAATAAGATAAGGCCAGTGCTATAAAATCAAAACATTCAAAAGTGACAAATATTTACAAAACAACACTAACTAAACAATAAAAAGCAATGAAACCCTCCTCCATACTTAAACATAACATTATCCCTAATGTTATCAATAAGAGAGAGAAAGACACACAGAAAACTCCCCTGATAAGAGCTAAATGGAGGATAGAGAAGAATAAACGAAGATCATTTAGACATAACCTGTATCTGTCACTATAAATGAATAGAACACATAATCATATACAAAAAAGCTGTGCAATGGTTAAAGTAATACAGTAATCCAAGACACAAGGGATAGGGAGCAAATAGAGGAGCAATTATAAGTACGGTAATCTTAAAAATCACCCAAAAAAAACTAATGATGCAAAAATAACCATAATAAAACAAAAGACCATTAAGAGGGGTCAGATAGTCTTGGGGCATTAGGGCGAGCAAGCAACAGGATCACAGGACTCTGGTAAGCAGGTGGTGGAGGGGGTGGATGAAGTAATGGCCTATAGAAAACATCAAGTAACTTTTGTAGTTATGTCATGATATAGGTAACTTAAGTCTATACCTCATTCAACTGATTATGCAAATGAGTTATCTCAGTTGTCACTCAAGCCCTCAAACTCAAATTGAGATGGTGCATTAGTGCGTGCTTGGTGCCTTAAAACTCATTCATCACCCGTATGAACCTCTTTCTTCTTAATGTTGTCATAAACAAACACTTTAGGCTATTTTTGTGTATCAGCCTCAAGGACAGTGTAACATCCTAATTTTTATATAATAAAGAAATTGTGAAATTTAGGTTTTGAAAAAAAAATGATGATAATAGGAATTTATATTATTTGAGGTTATTTAGAAATAATATTATGGTTAGGTATTTAATTATGAATTTAAAAATTTAAATTTAAAACCACATAAGCAATATTTAGTTAAGATATAATACATAAATAATTTTTTTATGTGTGTGTTAAAAAAAAGAGAAAGTAGAAGGAATAAAAAAAAAAGGGTGGAAGGTTGTTGTTTCTAAGTCCCACATTAGTTAGATGAGGGAAGAGATGAGGTGCCTTCATGTATAAAAAAGAGGGGGTGTGTGCATTAGGAAGCATGAGAGGCTAAGATGCAATTTAGAGAAAATTGCAACTTATGGCCCAAAGGTTTGAATAATTAAATTCAGACCTATAGTTTTTTTTAATATAATTTTGGGACCCACAATTCTATTTTTATATTATTTTTCTCTCTTCCTCTCACGTTGCTAGGCGTTTTCTCGTAAGGGGGAATTATTTTCTTTTTCTTCAGGTATGTTCTAATTTCCTGTTTAGATTAGCATTTAAAAATTTATTTAATTACAAAATTAATTTTATAGTTATTTTCTAAATAATATTAGCTTTCTAGTGATATGATTATTTTGTAGGATAGAGTAAATATTCTGATTAGGATTTTTCTATAGGATAGTTAATCTGATGATATGATGGAGTAAAAATATAGGTTAAAACTCTTTGGGATATAATAAATATTATAGAATATTTTCTTAAGGTTGAAACTCATGTTTAAGAATTTTTGAGTTAAAATCTAGATCTATATGGTTGAATTTATGTGGAATCTGAGATGTAGGGATAAATCTATGATTATTAAATATTTATTTAAGTATGAATAGGTATTTTTGAAATTATAGAAAGGTTATTTGAGGCTTCAAGATAATTTTAAAATTTTTAATTTATTTTTGGATGAATTTTTAGAATATAGAAGGATGAAATTGTGATACTAGAAGTGAATTGAGGATAAAAAAAAAGTTTATTAGGGTACGAGAATTAAAAAAAAAGAATTTGGGAAGTTAAATGAGTCATAAATCTTAAATTAGTGTTAATATGGATTATAGATCTAAGACTTTCTAACTCTTTAAATTAGAGTTATTTATTTTAATGTAAAATTAATATATAGTATTGTAAAATAATTATGTAGATTATATTGATAAAGATAGTGGTGAAAAAGGAGTTGTGAAGGGGAACTTGTTATTCAAGACACAAGGTAAACATTATTAATGTGTTGTGATTGGTGTGTTTGTGAATGGTTATGTGTTGTTTTGTTGTTTGAAAAAATTATGAATTATTGAAAATAAATACTGTTATATACTTCTGTGAAATCATTGCCAAGTGGGTTAAAAATTTATTTTTGTTTATCATGATGAGATATTATTGTTCGGATATATTTCTGTTTGGATATTTGAATTATGCATGACTTGTCAGGATATTTTAATGTATGGTGTTAATGGAAATTTCTATTCGTTTAATTATTACCACGTGGTAAGCCCTCATTGGACCCAATAAGTGGCATGTCGCTTGGTCCAACTCACCTTTGGCCGGGTGATTTGGCGTCTGAGCATGGCGAAAGGAGGATATAAGGTGCAGTCATGCAAATTAAATACTTGTTCGGTTTGTTTGAAAGTATATTTCGGTTAAATGTTTTGTGTGTCCACTTAGCAATCACATGATTAGTTACATCCACATGTATCATTATATATTAATTTTTAGTTACTAGGACTTTTAAGTCTCATTTCCCGTGGTTAATATTTTTACAGGAGCGAGTCCGGCCGAGAAAGCACCAGAGGTGTAATTATGGTGTATGAGACACCATATTTTATGTTGCCTCTTATTTTGGATTATACAATGTATCTTGTGCCAACTTAGGACATATCTTCTTTGTGGAGCATGTAAACTCTAATCCTTTTTATTAAATGCATTTATATGTTCAAGAGGATTATGTCTGTCCCTTTTAATTTATGACCTGATTTGAATAACATGCTATGAGGATCATGTTTGTCCCTCATGGTTCTAATTGCTTTTTTTTAAGATATTTTAAGACCTATGGTATATTGTCTTGGATGTATCATGGTAGAAATTTTTCTACCATGATAAGGGTATGATAAGGGTTTAATGAAAAAAAATGATTTGTTAAATTAATAATTTATGAAAAATCAATTTGTAAATTTGAGGGTGTTACATATTGGTATCAGAGCATCATGTTTCGAGCCTTTATTTTAGTGATACTTATTTAAACTTTTGTTTGAAACTATTACTTGTGTGAATTTAATATGTATTTATTATGTATGGTGCATTGCATATAGTCGGTTGGCAATATACATTGTTATGGTGCTTCTCATTGTATGGCCATTATATAGCTAGGCTAATTTTATTATTTATATCTTGT